GGGTTGGAGAAAGCTGGTCGGCGGCCTATGCTCCATTGGGAGTAACAGGCGAACGTAAGTAAGTAAGTCGTACAGCAAACAATTGTGAGAAATGTCATAAGCTAAAAAGTCTGCCTTCGAAGTGGACTCCATGGCCAGTATCGTCTGAGGCCTGGCAGAGAATTCATGCAGACTACTGTGGTCCATTTCTTGGCAAATACTATGCACTTGTAATTATTGATTCTTTTTCTAAGTGGCCTGAAGTTTTTTTCACAACTTCACCGAATTCTGACTTCACAATTCAAGCATTAAGGAAGGTGTTTAGTCGAGAAGGAGTTCCCATGGTGTTGGTGACTGATAATGGCTCTCATTTTGCTGCAGATGCAGTCACTAATTGGTTAAATGGTATAGGGTGCAGACATCTGTTTACGGCTCCCAGGCACCCTTGTTCCAATGGTCAGGCAGAAAATTTCGTAAGAACATTGAAAATTGCTATTGATTCTATTGCTGCTTCGACATTCAATGAACTGGAGAGGGGAGTAGATACATTTCTACTTCAATATAGAAATGCTAAGCATTCTGTGACGAAAGAGACTCCATCAAAGCTATTAAAAGGAAGAATTCTCCGTTCGAATATGAGGTGTTTGGAGTCTGCAGAAGTTACGTATTATCGTGGTAGTGATCTTCGACCAGCCACGGGGATCGTGGTGAAGAATGTTGGAAAATCTATGGTGCGAATTCTGGATATCAATGACTTGACCATACATAACCGACACGTTGATCAAATACAATACCAGAATCCAGGTGAGTCTGTTCCAATTTCGGTTGTTAATTCTAATACTAATGAGTGCATTCTAGATAATACAGAGTCTACATCCAATACACCGTCGGACAGATGTAAGATGAACTTAAGAAGAGGACGAACAATCGATTACAGACACTTACACTCCAATTCGAGCTGTGGCGGATGTGATGTTTAAATAAATCAATGACTTCTTCGTATTGATGACTGTTGTAATTTTGAATTCCAAATGCAATACATTCGTTCGAGTTCATCTGATACTTCTTGATTAAATTGCGTTATTCCTGGGATTACTAGTTCATACTACAATTCAAATACTTCTAATTATCATATTCATACAGACTGTATTAATAATTATCATGCCAATATGAATATATCGCTGTTGTATCTTCAAGAATGAATTAATGAATGTATGACCTTTTGACAAAATAGAAAATTTATTGAAGTTTCGTAAAATTTAACAATGTAATGGATTTTTGCTTTTTAAACAAATGATTTCTCTCGGAATATATTATGTCTCATAGTATACTATTAACGTTATCTCATATTTTTATTGAAGCACTTATTAAATAACTAGATTTCATTTTAGTACAAGCTTCATTTCCCCCAGTAACAAATGGTTTCACTAATACGTTATATAAACATACAAAAAGATTATTTATTTTGTGCGACAGCAAACCATTTTATTATTTCTACTTTCGGTATATGGTAACCTGATACTTATGCTAACTGATGATTCCTTTATGCTTGATTGCGTCAACCTGGCTTTCTTTACAGTGGTTATGTCCTGTTCATGGTAGCCTGTCGATGCCATCCTCTAAACAATTTATTCGGCCACTACAAGCAGTCAGGACTGGAGTTACTAGCCAGTATATTTGACTGCCTCATTTCAAGTGAGGTACAGTTCATCATCTGACGTTATCAGATAGATATTAAAACCCACAGGTTTTTAGCTAGCGTATATCCTTCCAACAGCTTGCCGGGTATGGTGATGTGGTTGTCCACACGGTTTAGGTTATCAAGGACGTTTTTGATGTCCAGAATCTGCATCGTTTTAATTCTTTCCTATCGTTTCCCGTTGGCAAATGATGCATACTACGGCAAACTTTTGTAGAACGCTGAATTTCTAACGAGGGAAGAATAAACAATCTGAAATGAAACTCGTCTGCACATAGTGTATAGGGAAATCAGTTAAGAACTAAGACTCGGTAGTGCCTCCATAGAATGCTTGGAACTCCTAAGTTCAACTGCGAACGAAAGTAAACCAAGTTCTTGTAATTTCTCATCACCACAAAGATGCCTATGGTCATCAGTAATTAGCGAGATACTTTTCTAAGCGTAGAGCTGCTAAATAAGCATTACCTGGGAAATCGGCGGGCAAAGATATGGTTTATCACAGGTTGCTTATAAATCTCTCAATGTCACGTCGAAATATACATGTCGCTAATCCCCGCATGTAATTGTCGACTTAGCTTGCATTAATAAATAGTAAAATTAAATGGGTCAAATAAGAGAATAGACTTCTGAAAACGTATATTTCATACAAACGGTGATCGTAAAGCGAAGCAAAACATTATGATGCATAATGTAGAATAACTGTTAGTCAACTCGATTTAACCAAGCTTGAATCGATACTTATAGTCAGATAAAATAAGTTACAAACGTATGATGAGTAATATGAAAAGTGAACACACAAACATTTACATAAAAAAATCAGGGTTCATAAGCGAATGATTAAGAATGGCAAAATGTAACTCAATGAGAATAAATAAATTAGCCTGTTCGGATGCTACAATAAGCTGTTTGGGCTTGACATTACAACCGACACTACAATATTAGATTGGCGCGACTGTCAAAATTTTAGAAATTGTTTGTAAATAACTAAATATGTATTTGGGTGACTGTTAAATATGATCTACAAGCTATGGGACGTTAAGGAACAGGGATTAATATTTTGAAAATTCTTCGGTTGCAGGAATAAGTAATAGTATTTCATAATCTGTCTAAGCGCATGAGAGGCTACTATTCAATCGTAACCATGATGTAGTAAGCTTTGCTACCAAGACTGGTATCCAGCACGACTCTGGTATTCACTGTTGTTCAATGATGAATGTCGCGGTCGTCAAGATCCAGCAAAAATATTACTTAGGCTTCTGGATCAATCCTCTATAGATTCAGATCCCTTAACATATTAACGTTTTGACAGAACGAGATCATTGGTTTGTCTTTGGTGGACGATGAGCTGGCTATGGATTGAACAAAGTCCTTTATAACGGAATACGGTTTTCTGTTGAATATGACCACAGGGACGAATTTTAGTCGCTCTTAAACGGGCTATAGAAAAAGAGAGTATACGAATAAATAATATGATCAAAATAATCCCAGAGCATATGATGTCTTAGCGTGACGAGTGCATTTTTCAAGCTATCTACCGGTCTTTCAGTTTTTAGGTCGAAAGCAGTTGATCAGCGATAAACAAAATTTTAAGTCAAAATTAGTTAACAGTTCGGAAATCATTATCTTTTGAATCCATGGTGGAATGTCCATTTGCGAATCTATGTGCCTTCGACGAAATGGTTGTAGGCGGCATTATGTTTCTCCACAAACTCATACACAAAGCCACATGGGTCTCACCGGATCACACCACAAAGAACCATAAAAATCTTATTTCCACCACTAAACTATCAAAAGATCAATAGAAGACGTGAGAACTAAAAAGCACACTGGCATAGCTTCAGATCACCACCATCTGGTGGCCGATAAGATGAAACTGAAGCTATAGAAGCATTGGATAACTTGATAAACACCATCACAAAGGTTCAATATAGCATTTCTTCGACATAATGACAAACTCAACGAATTCAAAATGACTCTTAACCACAGGTTCCAAGCCTTATAAGATAAACTTAAAGAAGTAGAAACTACTATGAAGGACAGTTAGAAAGAGATCAAAGGAGCACTAACTTCAACGTGTCAGGAGGTGCTGGACTGTAATAACTATCACCACAATTAATGGATCTCCATCCAAACCCTGAACAAAAAACAAAGAAAGAGAAAAGAAGAAGACAACAATTAGCAACAGTCGAACATGAACGGAGGAAGCCAAAGCACACTCTGAACACACTGAAGCAAACGAGCAAGTAAGGAGGAGTATTTGATTTGACAAGTAGAAATACGTGGAGGACCTAGCAACGACAAAGGAAAAAGCTTCAAAAGAAGGACATGTGAAACAACTATATGACACAATGAAGAAACTAGCAGGACAATGTAGTGAATCCGAGAGACCGGTCAGGAACTAGAAAGGCAGGTTAATCACTGAGATTATAGAACACAGAAAGAGGTGGGTGGAACAGTTTGAAAAACTCTTAACTAGACCAGCTCCATTGAATCCACCGGACATCGCAGGAGCATCTACAAACTTTGCCATGGATGTCACTCTACCAACGATCGAAGGAATCAGGATAGTCATCAGACAAAACAAGGTCGAGAAAGCAGCAGGAACTGACAATATACTGGCCGAACCACTGAAGTCAGACATAGAAGTAACGGGATACATGCTCCATTTTCTATTTAAGAAGATTTTTATTTCATATTGTCATTCAGTGTTTGCTTGCATCTATTCGTTTTACATTGTAAGGGCCAATGAAATGTCATTTAGTTCCAGCCAAATCGTTCGGCATACAGGTCACTGAATTTCGAACAATTCACCGATCCTTGTCAAGTTCAAGTTCAATCAACCCCCATCAGTTCATTGCAAGTCAAGGAACTCGCCCATGTGGTGGTAGTCGCAACTTTTTCCTTGTACCTGCTTTTACAAATATATCTCCGTAATAATGTTCTTTGTGTTATATGGTCTTCAAAGCATTTAAAACGTTATTGATGTACAACATGTTATCTTATTTTGACTAAGTTCTCCTTTGGGCCACTACAATTCTGATGAACCTAACGTTTCACGAACGAGCAGCCTTATGGGCACTCAAATAAATAATGCCTACATTGCCACTATATTTAGATTCAGTATGAATTTTACTGCTTATGCAGCGTCACACAATAAGGAAAGAAGTGGTATTTTATTGCAGTTACAAAACTTAGCGAACATATGTGGCATCACATTTCTTTATACACTATCAACTGTCCATTATAACTCAAAGATAGATCAAAGTCAATGATTTTTTCTGTTCAATAGAATTTAAACACTGTTTTTGTTTATATTCTTTAATTGTCTTCTTTTGACCTAGTGCTTGTATCAGCGACCTTGGGTCCTTCATATGGTGTCGGGTATCCTGTGTTCTGGGTGATGGTAGTCTTATCTTATTATTTTCTTAACTTTTAAATACAGGATGAGATAAACAGTTGTGTATTCACAAGATCAGTGGATCGCAGCGAAGATGACTCACCTCCTGTGTGTTTGGTAGAACTTATAAATTCTAAAACCAAAGTAAGCAATAGATATCTCCTTCCTGATAATAAAGGTTACTGATACTCATGAATCTATCGAACTCTCCGGTGGCAAATCAAATGTAAGCTTGCAAGAAAACTCGGGTAATGGCTGTAAAGTCGGTGGAATTTGCCCAATTAAATCTAGTTCCTCATCAATTTCGTTTCACGACCTACAGTCTAAATCTCCTTTACCAGTACGTTTTGGTACTTATTAAAATAATACAAAAATACAAGGGTGTAACAAATCCTTTAACATTGATTTGTTATACTGCACTATGTATTTGAACTTACAAGTACATTATACATGCGTTATTAATTTCATGTTTGCTTTCCCCAGGTCCCTTCATATTATAAGACGTTCTAGCACACTGATCCTAATAATTTGCTCTTTAGAGTTGACGAGCTTTTCACTTTTGTCGTAGCAAATGCACAACCTTATTGCCTCCATAGTTATTCTCAAAGGATAAACAACCGGTATGAATTTTTTACTTTATCTTTTATCCGGGATAATACCTCTCAGTACAATGGCCTTCAAATTGTGACTGTTCATAGTGCTTTCAAAGCGTTATTCGTTTATGTTGAAGCAGACTCGGGTATCTGTTGAGGGTCCGAAATTGGCTAATGAAACTGAAACCTTATCAACCGACGTGGTAGGGATGTGTATAACTTACCTAGTCGTACTGCTGATTATGCGAATTCACCCTTTTTGAGTCAGATTGTTAACGTCTTGTCCTTATTGCTGCCTCTGCTACTAATGCTACTTTGATAGTCGTTCTCTGCTCATATGAAGAGTTGAAGACAAATAATGTACAAAGTACAAGTAAATTCTGCAAACAAATTTAAACTCAGTAAACAGATTAGTTGGCTAGTCGACATTTATCAGGTGTCTCAAGTTGACACTTGTAACTGCTTTCATTTCGTCCGCGTAAAACCTTTAAATGTGTTCCTTTTTAAGTGTTAGTGAGTTTCGGTCGTAGCCAATTAACTTTGTTTTATGGAAGTAAGCAAACCGATAAATTCACATGATGGCAACCAGATAAATACGCTTAATTTGTACGTGTAGAGAAAATAGTTTGGTGGTCATAAAAGTTAGTCACAGTTTGGTTTCAACATTTATCATTCTAATTGCTCTAGACAATAATGTTATTAGTCGGCAAATAGGATCTTAACTAAGTTATAGTGTGAGTGCTTGGCTATTTGATTAGACTAAAATCCATGATACATTGTGTAAGTCCTTTATCAGAAACGTATGTTCATATCAAAACTTACATACGGTTGTTCATCATTCGTTTGTAGGGAATCGCATTTTTCAGAAACCTATCTAGAGTTTCTAGGCACATGTTTGTTTCATATATATATATTCGTCTCTCCGTTTGCTTCGTAATTGAGTTAATTTAATTGGTGAAATAAGCAAAACTTCCCATTCCTCCAAATAAAGAATTTCAAATGTATTCTGATTTCACTTTTTAGTTCTTCACTCTTTTACTATTGATTTTGCTAACTCCATATTCTTATATTTTAGGTCGTGACATCTGCAGATGACAAAAGTGATGGTTTGTCAAACACTGTTTCGTCGGAAGATCCTCTACCTAGATCAATTGATCTTGATAGCACTCACCTACCAACCATGAAAGAATCGAGCTCACTTACTTCTAACCATCATGCTAATAGGGATGATAATGAATCTCCAACTGGGGAAAATTATTTACAATCTAAAGCGAAAATATCTACATGTGATCTCGAGGCGGAAGATGAAGATGACGTGGACCTCGAAGATCGACCATTAACTGTCGATACCCAGGAGTCTGATGAGGCATTACTCAATGAGTCTTCAAAAAAGACAATTCCCAGTACAAACAACTCCGTATGCACTATATCTAGTAAGTGAACAATGTGACGAATACTGTCTTATGCATATCAGTATTTGATAATGCTCCAGTCATCTTAATCACATAATTCCACTCATGAAGAGCAATCTTGTTGTAGACACCTTTGACTAATATGTTCTCTATAATCCACAGCCTAGTGAAAGCATTTATACATCAGGAAATCTCTTTGTCTAGTACAGGCTTATGTCATCGGCTTTGAACCATATTGTGTGAGTACCGGTGTTACTACTCGGTTCTCAAGACCGTAGCGGTTCGAATACACTGTCTAGTTGCTCAAGGTCGAACTCTGTAACCACTAAGCCATTGCCACACTCAGAGTAAGTGTAATGCTAAATGCTACTGAAGATATCCAAAGGTTTGATACATCTCGGTGACCCACACTACACACCGTTATTCACTCCTAATATTCCTTGACAGAAAACGTTTTAGCGTTAGAAGTAGTTTATTGTTGTTTATTTATATTTTCTACTTTTTATTACTCCCAAATTCCAGTAATTCCGGAAAGCCATATGCTCGAAGTGTAAGTCAAACCTGTTAAGTATTGCGAATTAGACTTTGGTCTGGGTTGGAGTATTCTGCATCATCATAAAAAGTTTATTCCCAATAGGAAATGTACCGCGCTATATATCACATGATTAGATGCTTGATTTCCAACAAACTTTCTACGAGTTCATAACTTGCTTATTGAAGCAGTGGCTTAGTGGTTAAGGCACTCTAGGCCTATAAGTCAAAGGCCTGAACTTCCACCACCTAATTCGATTTCTTCGGTCGGTAATATTACTAACTTTAACAAATAATATAAGTCAAAACCTTATATAGCTAATAAGTTACTTTGCACAACCAAAAATTAGTCACTTGTGTATTTTTATCTACTTTTACAATTCACTTTTAACTCAATAGGTAAAGGCTTTAGTCCCCAAATAAAAATAACTAACGTCCAAGCATCGTTTGATATTTTTAAGAAATATAATCGTATAGTCGATTGACAACCTTATTTAAAATAACATTTTTGAAACCATTGTACCGTTTACTATCCCTGAGCTCTATTTTCTCGTTGTGTTGATAGCTATGGCAACTTATAGGTACATACTATCCGTTTAGCTTTCTACTTAAAGTATTAGGCTTATCACCCTGTTAGATATTACGATAGAACATGTTTTAGTGCGATGCTAGTCCGTCAAAATCAAAGCAATTCAATTTCGTCCTAAATCTGTCACAATATCGTATGTGCTTAACATTCTTCTGCTTGTGATATTTTCCGTATTAAGCATAATATGCACATTGAATGTATTGTAAGTGAATCCTTTAGTTATATTTAGGTTGAGATGTGTTTATTTAATGTACATTTTAGATTCAGTTGCTGAAGATAAACAGGATCCTACCTCAAGTGTTACAACTGCAAGTAAAACGTCATTTGTAGTAATCAACAGCACTCCATCCGCCGTTGTATGTTTATCTTCATCACTTTCGTCTTGCCAATCTTCACTTTCGCTTCAAAACTGTCAATCTACAAGTGTTCCTAACAAAAATTGCTCTTCGGATGGACATCATACCAGTGCTCCTGTTGCTTTAGCAACTGTGGCTCCTATAAGAATGTCATCTGTGGGGCCTGACTATAGCCTATCGTAAGTTCTTAGCATTTAGTTGAGTTAATCAAATAATTGGAAATATTGAGTTTATTTCATCGATCATTTGTACTTACATGGTCGATAGTCACTGAGATCAATAACGCTATTAACCGACACGATTGTACTCGTACTAAAATGTAGAGAAATGGTTTGGTGTCAACTGTGAGCGGTCTGTAGTTAGATAATACTTAGTGTGGTCATATGAACTAGATGTTTGTTTACAAGTCTCTGGTTTTAGGGATGCGCTCATTACAAATCCTCATATGTCCACTGGCTATGTATAATCTCTATCTAACCACTACTGCAAATATATTCTAAAACTTAATTTCAGACATAAGTTATGTTCTAATTTTTTCGATACTAACAAATATTCAAGTGTATAATACGTGATTTGTTCTTCGTGAATCGTTTGTACAGAACTTCGATCTATTTCACAGTATAAAATGGCAAACTCTCTGATCTTCGTTCATAATCCAGGATCGTTTCTTATGTTTCTCATCATACGATTTCATTGTTTTTATTTGTATATTTCTAGCATTTGTAAATTACACGTTTTTGTGACTAATCGATTCATCATATAAATTAGACACAAAAATAAATGTTACAGAGGTATGCACTTTGTAAAACTACTGTAGTGGCTTAGCGTTTAGAGCGCTCGAATTTCAACCATTAGGTTACAAGTTCGAATGCTGCCTCAACTACCTCGGTTTAGGGGCGGTTAGTATCACTTTCCTTCACGCCAAAATAGTCCAAGGCCAAGTACGAAAAATCTGCACGTGATAAATTACACAACTAACTTCATGACTTTCTACAAAGCAGTTTTAGTTCGTTTCCTCATTTGCTATTAGTAAGATATATTGTTTGCTTATAGGCATAGTGTACCATTGTAGCTTTAGTAATTTATAGTCATATACCATGGTCTATTTACATCGGAACTTGATTAAATAGTTCAATTATTTATCTGTATTTACTTTTTTTATCATTGTCAGTTAAGTATCTATTTTTTCAATAACATTCAGAAACGAAATTTTAAGACCTATTAAGCCTGTTTCACAAGATACCCAGACAAATACGGTTATGAGCAATCATGCCACTCCGCAGACTGTTACATCAATATTTCCTAGCAAGCATGAAGCTGTTTCTACAACATCAACCGTGTCTTATAACCCTAAATCTAGTCAAAGTAGCACAAACGAAAGATTTGGCTTTCCTGCTATTAGTATCACCAAACCTGCGTCTATTGGCACGACTTCTGTCACAATTTCTATTGCTCCTACTATTAGCTCTTCTGTGATTACTACGCACAGCATGCCAAGTATATTCAATGTGAGGACACGTCCGACGGTCGCTCAGTCAGTACTTCCAGTGTTGTCTGTTGGTCCCCAACCAGCTCCACCTCTCAACACACAAACTTCTCTTTCATCCTTACAGTCTCAATCTACTGTACAATTTATGCCTCTTGTCGGTAATATGCCTGTCACAATGCCAGTTCCTGCAACATCTACCGGTTTAAGAAATGTTATAAATCACAACCAGGCTATACCAATTGCTGGTGCACCAACTGCACCATGTCCTCCGCTTCAAATTTTCAACATGACACCCATGCCACAATTTATGGGTAGGTTATGATAGGAACCTTTATTTTTAATGTATCATTATTTAAGCGTATATGTACATTTACATACATTAAGCCAATAGACGAACTAATCTTTTGCATTTTCGATGTGATGTATTGTTTTTGATTAGCATTAATCTACATGTTGACCAGTTATCGATCCCAGTTTCATACCCTCACTTATTTATCTCTCTCTTTTTCGTTACTGTTATCTATTTATGTTATTCTTTGCATTCTATATGCGCGATTAAGTATGCCGTTTTGATATAAGAACTTGTTAGCCAAGTTTGGTTCCAATCAGTGTGTTACAAATTCGAACTGTAATTCTTCTCTTCTGAAATGACTAACAATCATGTGATATTTTAATCCTTCTAAGAATATGTGCAGTTTGAAGCACGATGTATAAATTCTTACCTGGTTATTGACCTGCATTGGCTATTATTTCAGTCATCAGAAAAATTCCTTGCCCTTTGGTCTTGTCACTTGACTTCTAATCGTTAAATCTTGAATTAGAATATATTTCCTTCTGTTGAAGTTAGGATAGTTTATATTTGACTGAAGGAACATTTTAGAACGTAAGGGTTGTGTCATCATGAAATGACATTAATTCTGAAGTTAGATTGAACACAACTCAGTAATTTAAAGTTGTGTTTTTACTCTATCCGACAAGTGAACTGTATCACAAGTCAGTAATCCATTTATTTAACTGGTGGGTTCTAGCCAATTCCAGAAAACATAACTAAACTAGTTCCTACTTAAAAAACATAAGAACTTGAAGATCTTAATTTAAGGAAGGACATATTGGGTAGACTTATAAATGGTTTCAATTTAAATTAACCCACGATTTTACTGTGTTCAGTTATGTATGCGTGTACCATAACTATATATTATATTATTATTATCATTAATTTCTTTCAACTAACACCTAGTCTAAGTATCCACTTGACATAAAATAAATATCGGTTATATATAGTTAACCGAAATCGCATATATTTGCAACGTGTGTGTGCAAACAACTGGAAAGGAATCTGGTTGTTTATAGGGACTATACTGTAACCACCTTACAGTTAATTACTAATTAACAGTATGCTGACCATAAGTATTTCCTTTTGTTTATTAGGTACTCCTAGTTATGTGCTACATCCTACTGGGCCAGTTGCCGGTGCAAACAGCTTCCAGTTTCCTCAAGGATCAACACACTTGCTACCTGGATTATCAGGAAATGCGGGGGTCGGTGGGACAACATTCAATTTTTTACAACCACAAAATTATCCGTCAACGATTTTTCCTCAGCCTCCCACTATACCTGATCTACTCATTGACCCACAAAATCCTATGGGTTTAGGACATTCTGTTTTAACCCCACCTGCATCGATCGCTCTCATAAGTGCCATAAACAACCCTAGTTCATCATCCTTCACATCAATTTATCCGACTCTTTTACATCAACCTAACCAAAATTTTTTCCCAACATCATCTACACACTCTGGTCCAGTGTCCTATCCATATTCAACTGCCTTAGCGGCTGGTACACATTTGGTAAATGCAACTGCACCACAAATGGCTACTTCTTTAGTTCCCGCTGCAGTTACAAATTTGCCAAATATTCATAACTCAAACGAAACAAATTTCATGTTTCAATCTGGACCGCCACATGGTACTTCTTTCATTTCAAGTAATTTCGCTCCAAATCCAGGGCAATTGTTCCCACCTTGTCAAGTAAGTCGAATGTGCAATTAGCCATCCAATTGAATTTAGCTTGTCAACACTACATACCTAACGTATTAAAGTTCTAGAAAAGAATAAAGGTAATCTCCATCACAATTTAGTATTACTTAAAAAATACCTTTGAAAATTCAGTCTTTTGAACAGTTGTTTATTGATTTTGGTGCGTAAGCAAAAACACACTAGATCGTCCATTAAGTGACTCTCTCAATTTTAAGCTAGAATATTTAGTCTCTACTTAAAATCATGGGGCTTTAGCTCATTAGTTTCACTACTGCATCCTTAGATAACCTATACACAAACTAAGTTAGTTTGAGTGGGTAGACAATATTGTTAACCTTTATAAAGTAAATGTGCTGCTGGGTCAATCAACGATGTATGCAATACTACATTATCATTAATTCATGCATTATTTTACTTTAATACTAATTACTCTATATTTAGTCAGTCATTTATTTTTTACTTTTTTCAGTTCGCTACGTTTCCAAATCTATTTCAAACCAATGATAATTGTTTAACGAATACATTTATCTCATCTAGTCTACCAACTGATTTGACTTCTACTTGTGACACAAAATCATCTTTAAATATGAATGGAAGTAATCTTGGTGGTAATGGTGGTACTTGTTTATCAACTTATTGGCCATATGTTAGTTCAAATGATCTAATAAATCCAACATCTATTGTTCAAGCAACAAATTCAACTCATCAAACAGATTTTTTACAGTCTGTTAATAATAATAATAATTTAAATGATCGAAGTAAAATGAATGATGTCAATACAGACAATAGTGGTATTTTAAATAATGTTGAAAATATTAATAATGGAACTTCTACTACCACTATTACCATAAATCCATTAACTCACGTATGTCATCTTGTTTAATGAAATTATAATTTTAAGTGTGTTATGGATAGTTTTACTGGTCATTATAATCAGTAACTTATCACTCCAGTTTGCTTGCACTATCTGTCATTGATGCTTTCTCTATGTGTTGGTTTTATTTTTCTTTTACAAAATCAAAGGGATATTTTGTATATAGATTAATCACTGAGTCGTCATCAATGTTATGTTTATCTTAAGATCGCAACTTGGTCGATGGAATTCGATCATCACTAAAAACTAAATAAACATAACATTAGCTACTACTCAGTGATCGATCAATTCAAATATCTCAATTCCTCAAATCAGTCTCTCAATGGTTACGTATCAGACTGTGGGACTGAGTGACCAATGTTCAAATCCACCAGTCAATGTTAGTTCATTCAAGATTACAGGTACGTCTTACTGATGAATACAGACTAACACAAAACCTAGGTCATGGGTTTTCTGATGACCACCACCAATCACTTAACAAATTTGTATGTTTGATTTAAATCTAGTAATATTCACCAGGTGTCGGAGTTTAAACTTACTACCTATTGGTCAAAGGTCAAATGACTTAACAATTATACCGCTTTTTATAAAATCTGATAAACCCACCCATAGATGGTAGATTTCATTACACACATAGATTTCATTCAAAACATCAATTGGTGTAAGATCATCGAAAAGGACCAGTCTCGAGCCAGAGTCCTTAACCGATAAACCACTGAGCCGGTATCCACCGGTGTTAATGTCTAACTTCAACCAATCCACGATTTTGAGCGACGGTTCACCGATTGTCTTCAGTGAGTTTATATCTCTACAACAGACTTGGTAGAACTCCACTGGCCACTGCTTCCCACTAGAACTCAAGGAAATATCTCTTGAAGTCAGTCACTAGTGAGCATATGATTATAGATCAGAAATAATTTCTTAAATAGTTTTTTTCTAGAATTATAATTTTCTTCTACTGAGTGAAAAATGGATTGTTGGGCTTAATGGTTAGGACTTTCGAATTTCAGCCACTAGTTAGAACTCAGATTTCTCTCCATCTACTTCCGTTTGGGCAACTGGATAATATCAGTTCCCCCCCCCACAAATACTTAAAGTCAAGTACATGCGTGTTTGTACATTGTAGGATAAGTTAACGAATAAATAAATATTCTTTTTAATCGTCAGCATTATTTAGAAATAGAAATTTTATTCTTCCTCGTTTCGTTATTCTAACTTTTATATCTCTGAGGCAGGGAATCACTTACTGTAGTAGTCTTTTAAAAAGCCCATCATGAAAGAATTTGTATCTAAACATTGTAAAATTACGTTAGCCGTTATTGTATACAATGTTTACTTATTTTAGAAGCAATATCACGCTGTTTGTATGTGTATTGTTGAGTGAAAAACCGATGAATTATTCCTTTCCGGGTACCATTTATCTCACAACAACTTGAAAGAACCTCAAGAAATCCTACTTGAATTCTAACAGCAAAGAATTAAAAATTAGTAATAGTATTATAAACTATCCAATTAAATTATTTAACTATGTAATAGTATGAACAGAAATTTTAAGTAGGGGATACTTCTAGGTTTTGATGGAGTTTTGTTGTCTGAGCTGGATGGTTTGGTCGTGGAGCTTTCATCATCCTTCTAAACAACATCATTAGCACAAACTTTGGGTGCTCCACGACCAAACCATCCAGCTCGGAGAACTAAACCCCATCAAAATCATCCACCTGAGCTACAAATCACCATCTCAGAAACTTCTAGGTCATTGGTTAATAAGAGATTAACATGTTACTATTTAATTAAACTGTCTATTGTTAGAATCAGTTCTGACGGGTATAAATTCGTATTTAAGTTTCTCCTGTAGAACTGCGTATGATTAATTAACATTTTAGTGAAACATAAACAGTTATGTTACTCGATTTTTTACAAATAATTTGACTGCTGCTTAGTGTTGACTAATTAAGTTGCACAATATTTCAATTGTCTATGGTTTGTAAACTGTTTCTTTTTCTTAAAAAAAAGTAATTTATCTTAATGGTTTCATCATGTTTAATAGACAATTGTTTATTTGCTTTTTTATTTTCGTCTATCTGTTTTCTTTTTCTAGGCATCAATTAATTCTTCAATTAACAGTACTTTAACTACAAAAAATACTGCTACCACTACTAATATCACCTCTACGTTAGATAATAATGGTAGTCATAATAAAAATAATATAATCCCACTTAATTCCTCTACAGTTGTTCTACCAGCTATACGTCGTCGACGTCGATTATTTGCACAAAATGGTATTAAACCAATTACAAATGTTATTCAAAGTCCTTTTCTAAATCATACTAATTCCATGAATGATGAGATTAATAATTCGACTGTGATGAATTCCACTGGTGATGATACAAATAATCCAACGGTATCTGATTCACTACTTTGTGCAAATGTTAATAATAGTAATGATAATGATGATAATATTAATGATAGCAGTGTTGATAATTATACTGATGGTATTAATAATAGTAATAGGGATTCTCTAACAACATGTGACAATGAATTAAAACAATCGGACACTATGCAGGTAAGTATTTGTTGTGACTTTTTAATCGTTAAGAAATGTTAGCAATCAATTTGCATAATAATGTTGAATGAGATTCAAACGTTTACCAACTGTATATCTTTACTCATCTCACGAAAACTAAAATATATCATGAAGTCTTTTGATGTTAGGTGGCTGGGAGTAATGGTCTACAAGAATCCCTGAAACCCTATCACGTTTCGTGCTAGTGGGGACTTTTCAGTAAGGTGTATTTGAAACCTGTAAATCATTGATACACTGTAAGATTTGAACCCGATTCAACCAGTTCGCCTTTCTAACAATTATAAACTCAATCAGTCACAAATAACGTGGAACTCAGCACATATGTGTATTGAGTACAAATCGCTACATCATATCACCACAGGGAGTTGAAAATTGCAAGATAAAAGTTACCAGAGTTGTTGAAATAGTTACAGTATCAGTAGTGATTAAAAACGTTGAGTATAGATAATTCAACTTGATAAAAAATTCATAAAACAAAAAATCATTCGAGACAACTTACGATCTAAGCGAAGACAAAAAATAAGTTCATCAGCTCTATTGTGATAGATTCTAAGCTATCACACACAGCGTCTCCGACTCCTGGTTATGATTTTTGAGTCATTCAGACCAATAGCCACACACCAACCTGATTGTTAAAGTCCCGTCAGCACTGTAAAAACTAGAGAGTGAGAGAAGCTGACATTTTGTTACTACGCCGTTATTTAGTTAGTCTTCTATAACTCCTCACACCACCTGTGATAGTTATCTATCTAGAGCTACAACGTAGTAGACAAAGCATATTCAATACTATTGACTTGAATATTCTATATGAGATTATGTTTAATCTAATGGTTTGTTTTTAACCATTAATCTATCTATCTCTGTCATAGAAAAGGGTTCTTACATATTTAAAGACTAAATTTCTCTATAAATTTTCACATTTATTTAAATTTTTAAAAACTTACGCGCTTGAGTTTCCTTTAAATGCGATTGTCTCTTAGTACTTATTTATTTATTTTAACACATAAATATTGGTACAAAGAGGCACCTGATACATATGCGCCGCAGAAATCTCATCTGATTTGTGTGAGGGCTGTGATACTGCCCAGGTGCTATTGAGTAACCATACCATATGGATGGTTGTCACTTATAAATCAACATCGTTTGAATACTTATCAGAAATCAAAAAGTATTTTGAATCATCATGTTGACTTACCACCACTCCGTTTTCTTCTTAATCAAGATTTTTTCAATCATTAAAAGCAATCTGTGAGTTGATCACTATTTCTAGACATCTCATATTTCGTTAAAACAGACTACACATTTGCTGTATTATTATTGAATGTAGTCACTACCAATATTCACAAAGGCTTTTAACTATCTCATTGTTAAACTCTTATCAGATCAAGTCATTGTACCTGACAAAACATTTTATTTGAATGCATCAATTCTGCTTTTGATATCTTGGATACTAGTTTTTTATTTCTTTCCTACTACAGCTCAATCTTAATCCAATATTATTGGCTAAACACCATCTTATTTTAAACTTCGTTTAGTCGACATGTTATAGTTTGCATTAGAACTTTGAAAATCTATCTTGAATCTAATCACTAGTGTGTATGTAAGCACGCGGTTAGTGCTTACTAAGGTGGTTTTGTGAAACTTTTATTTCTATAATTTGGAAGTAATTTTTATCTTAAACTGATATCATATATTCTTCAGTAGGTTTGAATTGTATTTCACAGTGTAATCTAAATCTAGTGCTTCCAGGTTTTCAATGATGGTCTAGCTTAAATCGACTCTTGAATTCGACTGTTATGATTTTAAATGCTCAGTGCATTCTAATGAGGACTCAACTAGATAGATGTACGTTCTCCATCTAAGTCCAAGCTTCAACCCAGTACCTCTGACTTCCAAACTCAATATATTATCCACTAATTTAGTGAGTCTAATCAGTTATTATCAATAGAGACTGATTAATTCTAGTTTTTAGTTAATAACAGCAACGGGAAAATACAAATAATTTTCCATTGCAAACACTTTGAAAACATGGATTGTTTTTGGTTAAATCCATCAGTTCATTACTACTATAAAAATTTGCTTTGTCCGTTTTCAATCGTACAGAAGTTTAAATCATCCCCATACCGTATTCTTCCTTTTCAACATTTCTCTCTGTGTGTATGTGTATTTCTCACCAACTATTTTTCTCTCTCGGTCAGTCGCCTACATCCAGTCATATGCCTATATTTATTTATTTGTTTTTTAGTCTATCCCTATCTCTTTTTACCCAAAGTTTTATTGGTTGTTTTGTCTTGTCTTACCTTTGTTTACACATGAATATTTTTCTCTCTTTTTTCAACTTGCTAAAAGTTCATCAATAGAATTATTTTCCTTGTTTTATGTGTCTTGATTACACTCACCTGTTATTTATGCATCATATCTTCGTTATGTCATCCCTTTCTCTGATAAACTACGGTTTGTTGTACTATCAAATTTACCGAAAAATCATCTATAAACCCATTCAACTTGAAATATGTAATATAGAAAAGGATGGATTGATTCTCTATTACATTAATATTAACGATAATTCAAATAGTGTCACTATCTTGAAACACCGACTTCGGTAGCTTAGATATGTTCTACAAATATGGTCCCAAAGAATTCCATGTCGTGCATTATTTGTCGACGCTGGGACTGGTTGGAAAAAGGGGAGAGGTGGTCAGTGCATGACATGGTTATGACTGACTGACAACATCTTTAATTTTATCTTTCATTATACTAACGTTATGGTAACTTAAGCCTATGCTCCCAGTACGTACCAAGGTTCGCAGTACCTATGATTAAATACTTTCACTATATTCTTCAAATTTCTATTGAATTATTTTCCAAATGAACATCCGTTCACCTAATTTATTCACTGATCAACGACGGATAAGTATGCTGAAATCAGTCTCTACCAAGCTGTTAATTAGCTAAGCTGCTATTTTTTTCCTTTTAAAATTTGTATGATCGTTATGATACTATTGTTCTCTACACTAATACAACTATGTTAGATCATCCGAATTAAATAAATTGAATATGTTAGCTAATTTTATTTGTTTAAGTTAAAAGCAGTTATGGCAACCTTTTTTATAACCATATCAGTCATAGTTCACTCGGTCTTGTTTGTTTGAATCTTCCCAATGATTTTTAGAACTGTAATTGATCAGTCTCTTATTGGCATATGTGCATGTTGTGCGTATTGCCTCGATATAGCCTTAATTCAAAAGCATTATAAGCAAAGGCTATATCGAGGAAATCCGCATAGTATGCACATATGCCAATTAGAGACTGATCAATTGCAGTCTTAAAAATCAATGGGAAGATACAAGTAAACAATATCGAGTGAATTCAAACTTCACCCCATTGCACAATCAAGTGGTTATCAGGACTCAGTAGCTGAGTGGATAACGCGATAGCGTTTGAAGCGAAAGGTACTGGGTTCGAGTCCCAGAGTGAACATCAATTTTGAGATGCAGTTATATCCAGCTTGTGAGTCCCAAATAGGACGAAACGCGCATCTTGGATTCTACTACTAGCCATTATTCATCTCTGCTTATCATTCTATCAGTTTACGACTTTGACTGTAGTAATATAGACGAATGTAAACATTGTTACTAAGTTGTTTTCTTATAAGCATAACTCATTGACTTTGTTATTATTTCAATGTTTCTCATTTATAATAATTATTAAACTTACCGTTCACATGTCATTCACAATAATAATAATAACTGGGCGTGTTAGTTTGGTGCAAATGGTTTATGAAGTGATGGCCCAGTTCTTAAAACATTTGACTTCAAACCACTAAGTTATATGTTCGAACCCTTCTCCCACTGATTCCGGTTTTGGCAACCGAAAAGTTTCATTGTCTTTCACATTTAAAGTGTGGCTTGTGAAGCTGGGTGTACACATTTGTATACCTCCCCCCAAATGCCCTGGTACGGTCGAGGGTGGGGAGGGCCCGCTTTAACCGGGCCGGTGGACACGGTGAGTCCACCTAGAAAAGTTGGGAAACCCTGAGCCCAAACCAATGGTGCACATGGGCTCCAGTATCCTGTCAGAACAAATGGCATATGAACCAATTGTTGGTCACCGGTTACCATGGGACTACTCCTCATGATGTCCCTAGGGGATGTGGCCCCCTAAGAAAACGACCTGCTTCGGTCTGGGCACCCGGGCAGTATCATAGCCCTCACACAATTACGGTGAAATGACAATTTTTGTGTGGGACATGTATATCTGATGCCCCCTTGTACCAATATGTGTCCAAATAAATAAAATAAATTTGTGTACCTCTTGAATGAGTTGAATTGCACAATATAGCATCCTTTTTTAATATCGTCTTTTGTTTGTTTTTTCTTCACTCATTTCATTGAATTTAGTCGCTCGATAAATTGACTCCCTCTACAAAATCATCAGCTTCCACAATACCCACTTTCAGGAGCAACACTTTACCGCAATCTGTTGAAGATGTGCAGTTATGTAATCAAATCTCTACTGATGTTGAATTTACTTCCAAATTATCGAAAGAAATGTAAGTTACTTTTGATTTGTTTTTCTCTTTCAAGTTTTTGACTACATACGAGTCGCTTTTTTTCCCCATTTTATATTGAACACTTCTTTTTGTATTGGTTATACTATACTGTGTTGAAGGAAAAAACTGCTTTCGGGACGAGAAATTCATTTAATAAGTAATGCTACTAGCAATTGATTAGTCCAGTAACTTTTAGAAGTGTTCTTTTGTGGAGAGTATTCAATACTCTTTGGACTGATAATAAAAGTATCTTTAGATAACTAAAATAACTCATAATGTCATTGAATAAGAAAAAGAGAATTCAGACACTCTTGTTGTATACAAATGTATTTAAATATTTATAAGTGTAAAAGTCCCCTAGATTATTGTTTTATAAAAATATTTCATGGATTCGTTAATGAGTTTACGTACTAGCAACGTGAACGTTTTGTAAAATCGTTTAGAAAGCTATTCCCAGCAACATATAAAACAATCCAGAATCGGATTGATCTACAGTTATATTTATAAACTTTTAAGTATTAAAAGCTTGTAGATCACCAACGTAGATGATCTATGTCGAATGACTGGGGCCTACTCGAGTTAGATGGAAATGGTGTGACCCACGGCTAACTTCGAAGTCACATCTCGCGGTCAGCACCTAACGTGGATTACTCCGTCGTATCAAGGTACTGTAGCTGCTTTAAAGATAACATAATACAAAAGACCTTATTTCAGAGATGTATTTGTAAAAGTAGATACAAGGAAGAAGTTACGACTACCACCACATGGGTCAGTTCTTTGACTTGTGATGAACTGATGGGGGTTGATTGTCCTTGAACTTGACAAGGATCGGTGAACTGTTCGACATTCGGTGACCTGAATGCCGAATGATTTGGCTAAGACCCGATAACATTTCACTGGCCCTACCAGCTAAGTATCTAATCTTGACAAATGAATGACTCATTTAAAGATAGTTATGCTTTGACCTACGATCTGTATGCTCACTTACTCGGGTCACGACATTATGTAGTTTGCGTATGCTGGTCTGATGATCTCTCCAACCAATAACACAACTGACTGCTAACAGTGAGCCGGAATCCTAATTTTTATCGGTCCGGCACTATTCCTTTTATTTTCAATATTCAATCGGAAGACATATATATAATTAAGACTTAATAATTAACAGGATCACATACATTACTTACATAACCGCAATCTACTTATTAACAAAGACTAGGTGATTTTAAATCTCCTTAGTGCATTGTTATTTTAGTGATAAGTTCTTAATCTAATCTATCTCTGGGCGATTCCAAGAATTATTCTAGTTTTAAATAATTTGTTATATTTTTCTCCTTATGTGCATTTCAGAAGTAACCATTTGTACTTCACTAACGTATTATTTTATTTCATTAATTCGACTTCACATTTAGTTTCTTTGATCAATTTATCATTGAGATATAATCACAATTGATTGATCACTGGGTAGTGATCAATGTCATGCGTGTCAAGTCCTTCTTAGTGTTGATCGAATGCTATCGATCAAGTTGCAATGTGGCCACTAGTCTAGGTGTCTCAACACTGCGTGCACTATGTTGAGATAAGATGGTGGTTGGAGGTGGTCAACAGGAAACCCTGGACCCGGGTTTCGTGCTACTTGGCACTCGTCAGCAAGATGTACGCGTAATCTTGAGGGAACTGGTGCTCCCTGACAGATTCGATCCCGTGTCATCAAGCTTCAGAGTCAGAGACCTTACCATTGAGCTATTCGGACCGTGACTGAATATTAGAGCAAAGAATTGTTTTCAGTAACTTTATCATCAGGTTCTACATTTATCAGTCCACAACTATCATGTTGTAATGGTTAAAGTAAGGGATGCCTAATTGAACTAGACAATGTATGCTATAATATCGGAACTCAGAATCCTGGGAAAAATAAAGAATGTGTATATCGGTGACTGATTTTGGGCCATATCATCTAACTTCGTAAACCATTGATCATGGTTATTACAAGGTCCGCAAACAGGTAGTCTGTATAATGTGGTGGTTAAAGCTAATCGACAAAATGATCTAGATCCAGATTTCATCTATTGAGCACTCATCAGCAAGGAGTACTTGTAATTTTGAGAGATCTGATACTCCATGGGGTATTCAATCCCATGTCATCCAAGCACTAAAAAGTACTTGACATACGTGACATTGATATTTAATCGGTAATGAATCAATTTTTAGGTAGGCTGTATCTAATAATTACTGCTAAAAAAAAACAGACTTCATAAACTAATATCACATCTTAGTTTAATGGTCGTATAGTTTTGTTTACAACCTGCTCCTAAACCATACAACATTGCACTTGGTTAGACATGCGTAAAGCATGTCTCATCCACTTCAATTTATGGTAGACTCGCATCTTTATCAACCAGCTTGCATTCTGTTATGCCTGAAACTAAATCGATTCCGCGGTAACGAACGAAAGCCAATGACACAATGACACGATAAGCTATTCTAATCTGTTGTCCCAGGCCCCGCTAACTAGATGAAGAAGTCCAAGGCAAGTAGGGGAATATATATGTATTCCGTAAGCAGCCGAGTACAAGCAATCAAATAAGGGAAAAAGTCAAGCGCATTTATACAGTAACAAATTGTCCTTCAGCACCATTAGTAAATAGCACACATAAAGAAACAAAGGACCAATAGCGGTTAAGATAGTTTACAGGTGGGAAATATGACGTGAAGGTAAAAGAGCGCTTTTGGCGCGAAAACAGCTAAATTCAAATTTTCAAAATAAAACTACAAGATTAGGCCATTTACCAAGTAAGTTCTGGGGATTTGACATCCCCAACACCTCCCCTTTTTAGTAACGGACATTCTTTGGGTCCACCTGCATTCTAACTGTCTGTCGCCGTTGGCGCAGTGACCATCTTCGGGACCGTAGATCGACCTTTTGATCTTCTTCATGCGTTGGGACTGCCGGCAGATTAAATGTATCCAATAGTACGTCCAGCGGAATCTTTACTTCGGTCGATGGGCGCTCTGGTGTTAACCGCTTGCGTAGTTGATTTCGATGTCTGGTCCATCTGTCCGTTCCTACCTCAACCTCATACATGACTTCTCCCATCCGTCTAACCACACGTGCTTCGATCCAAGGGTCACGATTTGCTCTGTAGTCCCGAGCGAATACTGGGCATCCAACGTTGTACGTGGGTAGCTTCCGGGACGTGGTTTGTATTAGTGGTGGTGTGGATTTCGGCAGCATCAAGTTGTGAATGGTCCTCAGCCGTCTTCCCATGAGGATCTCTGCGGGGGACTTCTGCTCCGGCAGCGTGTCGTTGGGGTCGTTCTGTAGGCAAATAAAAAATTCTGCAGTGTTTCCACTGGCGTCCCCTCCCCTTTTGACTTAATCAGAGCCCTCTTGAACGTATCCACGAACCTTTCCGCTTGCCCATTCGATTGTGGGTGGTAAGGTGGGGCGCGAAGATGCCTGATGGTTAGGCGTTTGCAGAACTCTTGGAACTGCGCCGAGGCGAACTGCGAACCGTTGTCGGATACAATCACTTCCGGTAATCCGTTTCGTGCGAACAACTCAGTCAAATGTTTCAGAGTCTGGGTGGTCGTTGGTGGAGTGACGGGAACAATCTCCGGCCATTTTGAGAAGGCGTCGACCACGACAAGATATGTGGTTCCGTTGACTGGACCGGCAAAGTCGATATGTATCCTAGACCAGGGATGCTCAGGCTGTGGCCATGGGACCGGCGGTACCTTCGCATTGGACTTTGCAGCTTGTTGACACTGAGCACATTTGTTTACTAGATCCACGATATGCTGGTCCATGAGGGGCCAGTAAGCATAGCTTCTGGCGATGGATTTCATACGCTTTATGCCTGGATGACCAATGTGGAATTGCTTCAGCACCCTCGGTCGTAGGGATTCTGGCACGACCACTCTATCTCCAAACATCAAGCATTCATTTACGACACATAATGAGTCACGACGATGGTAAAGCTGCTTCATGTCACCGTCAAGTTCAGTTGATGGCCAGCCATTGGTGACGTAGTTCATCGTTTTCTTAATGACGGGGTCGTTTCTGGAAGCAATTTGTATCTCAGATTCTAAGACTGGCAAAGCACGAACAGCGGTTGTCAGGTAGCATTGCGCGTGGTCTTCTGTCGAAAGAGAAGCGATAACGGCATCTTCATCGGTCGTAGAGTGTTCGTTGATGAGTCGTGACAATGCGTCTGCTTGACCAAATTGTTTGGTGCGTCGATACTGAATGTCAAAATCATACCCCAAGAGGATCAAAGCCCATCGTTGGAGACGGTTTGCAGAGTGGGCCGGGACGCCAGATTTCGAACCAAAAATTTCGAGAAGGGGCTTGTGATCCGTAAGGAGTGTGAACCTCCGACCGTACAAAAATTTGTGGAACCGCCGCACCGCAAACACCAGGGCGAGAGCCTCCTTCTCTATCTGACTATACTTCCTTTCTGCCGGGGTCAGTGTTCGGGATGCGTGCATGACAGCCTTCTCTGTTGCGTCTGGAAACTGATGAGAAATGACGGCTCCTACGCCATACGCTGAGGCATCTGCAGCTACAATGATTGGCATGCATGGATCGTAGTGCGTTAATAACAATTTCGAGCTGATGATGGACTTCAGTTTACAGAATGCTGCGTCACACTCTTTAGTCCAGTTCCACGTACTGTTCTTGCTCAGTAGGCCATTCAGTGGGGCACGAATGTCATGCATTGAAGGGACGAACGCGGCATAGTAAGAGACCAGTCCCATGAAGGAACGCAGTGCGGAGATATTCGTGGGTGTGGGCATCTGTCGTATCGCTTGGACATTTTCAGGATCCGGTCTGCGGCCGTCAGCATCAAAAATAAACCCCAAATACTTTACGGACCGTAATAAAAACTGGCATTTCTCAGGTCGTAACCGGAACCCGTTTTCACTAATGCGTTTCAGTACCGATGTCGTTCGCTCATGTAGCTGTTCTAACGTTGCGGCAACAATTAGAATGTCGTCAAGGTAAGCCGCGACTCCCGGGATGCCCGATAAGATAGTATCCATTAATTGTTGGAAAATAGATGGTGCAGTCTTGACACCGAATGGTAAACGGTTGTACTGAAATAACCCACGGTGAGTGTTGATAGTAAGCAGCTCCCTAGATGCTTCGTCTACTTCAACTTGCAAATAAGCATCAGCAAGATCCAGTTTTGCGAAGAATTTTCCCCCATTCAGCATCGTAAACAAATCTGCCGGAACTGGTAAGGGATAGTGGTGTTGTTCAAGGGCTGCATTTAGACCTGTAGAAAAATCAGCACATATTCGTAAGGTGCCGTTTGCTTTCTTGATGACCACTATCGGTGCTGCCCAGGCGGAGTAAGAAACGGGAGTAATTACTCCTTGTTGTTAGAGGCGGTTTAATTCTTCATCTACTGTTGGTAACGTCGCATAAGGCACGGGTCTTTTGGGACGAAAGACAGGCTTAGCTCCAGGTTTCAAACGAAGCGTTGCTTTTAAGGTAGAACACTGTCCCAAACCAGACTGGAAAATCGATGAAAACTGCGCCATTAGCTTCCTGGTATACGATTCAGTGCCATGAGGTTGTGATATCATGTGGCATATGGTATTTAGTGGGACATCAGCCAATTTCAGTTGATCGAACCAATCTAAACCAAGTAAATTTAGATCAGCTGGAGTTATATGACATACCCCGGTAAATGACGACTCCCGGAAGGTCACTCTACATTCCAATTGTCCTTCTAAGTGTAGGAAATTACCACATGCGGTACGAGGCTTTTTAGTTGTTCGCTGCAGGCTTGGGCGACCCATTTTGATCCAATTTTTGTGAGAGAGGATGGTGACGTCTGATGCGGTATCTATTTGCAATCTAAAAAAATGTCCATTAATATTAATGTTAATGAATTTCCTCTCACCTGGTGATGAACTCTGACAAGAAGATACCAAGCTCAAAGAAGAGGTACAGGGCTTTGGAACCGTCTTTTTGGTATTACTGGATCGATTTGGTGTGCTCTTAAGGCAAAACCCGTCCTTATGGCCAACAACCTTGCACTTCCTGCATCGATGTTGCTTAAATGGGCAATTCCTTACGTAGTGCCATGCACCACAATGCCAGCAAGGAGTGGAGGGATTTGTTCTGGTCTGTCGAATTGGGCTGAAATGAGTTGGACTGAATGCAGCGGGAGCGCACTGATTCTGGTTAGTTGTCTTTTGGATTACTCGTACTTCCGATCGACTAGACCCACCACTCTCAACCATCGACGTGTCTCGTTGTAGATTTACTAGGCGTTGATATTCATTAGCCATGTCATTTAGTGTGAGTTTTGGATCTTGGTCCAATCGACATAGTAGTCGCGTTCTTATGTCACTGAACTTCTGGGACTGAAGGCTGCAAATGAGGATAAGGGCTTTGAACTGGTCTTCAGATAAAGACTTTAACCGGAACCGTTCGCATTCACGGTTAACGATGCCCACATGCGTAAGGAAGTCATCGTCTTCGTTCATAACCAGCTTCAAACATCGGTAACGGGTGTTAAACAATGATGAATTGTCCCCAAAATGTAGGCTTAGTGTCTGGACTGTGTCTGCGAAAGAGCGATCACGTGGATTCAATGGCAGGATCAAATTGCAGTACCTGTCCAGCTCACTTGCACCCAACTTCCGAAGTAGCAGTCGTACCTTCCAAGCCTCATCTTGATTAGCAAAATCAAATTTAAATAGGTCTTCATAACGCCGGAACCACATGTCAAAAGTAACGTTTGCATCAGGATCATAATGAAACTCAGCAATACTATTTGCGACGCCGTCTACTGATGGTGCTGTGGTTGCATTAGCTGTGCTAGGCTGTGAAGGGGGCGAAACTTTCATGTCTGTCAGCATTTGTATGAGCTTCAGCTGCTGTTCAAGTAATGATTCGAGTTTAGAAGGATCCATGTTTCCAAACCACCGTCGCCAATTGTTATGCCTGAAACTAAATCGATTCCGCGGTAACGAACGAAAGCCAATGACACAATGACACGATAAGCTATTCTAATCTGTTGTCCCAGGCCCCGCTAACTAGATGAAGAAGTCCAAGGCAAGTAGGGGAATATATATGTATTCCGTAAGCAGCCGAGTACAAGCAATCAAATAAGGGAAAAAGTCAAGCGCATTTATACAGTAACAAATTGTCCTTCAGCACCATTAGTAAATAGCACACATAAAGAAACAAAGGACCAATAGCGGTTAAGATAGTTTACAGGTGGGAAATATGACGTGAAGGTAAAAGAGCGCTTTTGGCGCGAAAACAGCTAAATTCAAATTTTCAAAATAAAACTACAAGGTTAGGCCATTTACCAAGTAAGTTCTGGGGATTTGACATCCCCAACACATTCCTTCCCCAGTAACCTAGGTTTGCTCTCAACATTTCCCACTTGGTTGTTTCACCGTTAACGAGCAGGTGTAGTTGGTTTAATTTTGTTATGTTAACTTCGGTAATCCATGTATGAGTCACACAATGAATGTAGTTGGACTACTTTTGTTGGATAGAGAGTAAGTATTGAAAAGTATGGTGTATATATTTTAATCATTTCCCAAACTCAAATATGAATGTCCTTGTGTACAGATAAGTTTCTACACGGGTTCTAATCAGAAATAGATACACTGTTAGTAGTTGTAATATTCTAGTCGGCATAATGTATTTAAATATTTAACAAGTGGGTTATAACATGTCGTGATCTCACTCTCCCCAATTTGATTCGGTCAACTGAGCAGTAGCAAGTATAACTCCAGCCTGGACTTATAAATGTCTCTCATAGTCAAGTACACAAATTTGTACTTGTTTCGATTTTCTATTCTATTACAAAATCCCACTTACAGTTTTGAAGAATAAATGATAATCTATACATTAAACGGTAATATTGGTATAAACTGGTTAATTTTCATTATATTTTGTGATTAATAATATTTTTTTACTAATATTATTATTATCATTGATTTATTAGCCAACAAAAGGATTCAGTAGAGTATGATGATATAACTAAGCTTCCTTCATCATCATCATCATGTTCTACTTTTATCAGCAGTTCCGTAATGGTGACAACGATAGTGACAACTCAACTAATACCAACTATGTCAACCATCACCATGACATCAAATACAACAATCACTCCTTCACAAATGATTACTACTTCCTTTGCAACCAGCCCAGATGCAACCAAAACTCATGACCTTAATCACAATGCAGATAGTTCAGTTTCTTCAACTTCTCTACCATTTTCACCTTCAAATGCTAATAATAATAACAATAATAATAATAATAAATTGGTACACAAGAACTCAGATCTTTTACCAGATGAAAGTAAAATGGTATCAGTTGGAAAATATGATGATAAAGAAGCAGCAAAAAATATCGTCAATAATCAAATGAAATCACCGGTCAGTAGCACTTTACTAGTAAACAATGATAGTAATAATAATAGTGATCAAAAAGATTCAATTAATGAAAATTATTCAAAATTATTAAGCACAGTTTGTGTTAGCGGTAGTGGTAGTAGTAATAGTATTGACGCCAGTAGTACAACGTATTCTAAATTGAAATCAACGATAACACCTTTTGAATTTCCTCCTCCACCTGTACTTATTGGTCCTGATGATCGACGTATATTAACTCATTACATTGATGGACATATTATTTATGAAAGTGATAAACCATTTCCAGTAAGTTAAATATGTGTATGTATTTTGTGATCATTTCTTTGTTTTCCTTAATGCTTCTGTAATATAATTAAGCAGAAGTAAATGGTGGCTAGCAGTGGAATCTAGTATTCGCTTTTCATTATACAGTTTAATGTTCTGAATAAACTATTGTTAACTAGTCAGTTAACCAGTTGTTGTCGATGTAAATAGGACCCTATCACAAATTTACGTGTCAGCTAAATTCTCATACCTTACATCAGCATAGAAATAAAATTAACAAGGTAAAACACGAGAAAGAGTAGTTTAATCTGTATTGAAAACCTAAGTTGTGGAAGTGCTGCGCAAAAAATGGAAAATCTGATCAAAGACTAAACAGTTAAGAATGGGCACTTAACTTACTATTAATGCTAATAAATCAAATTTTCCACCAATAAATGACGCCCGCTACATGAACCCTAATCAGGAGTTCCTTGTGCTTACCAATATTGCTCAGCTTAATGATTAATAGCATCATGATCACTACTAAAACGTTGGACGCCGGCTAAGTGATCTAAAAGGCAAGTGTTCGACGCGTGATCTGAATCTCCTGGGCTTGATCCTAGCTGGGGTCGTGGATGCACATTGCCGAGGGGTTCCATTCTAGGATGAAACAGCTGTTTAGTTTTTCCCGTTTTTCGATGGTAAGTTCTTAGTGTAAACTATGAAATAACTTCATGGACTAATTTTACTCATTCGTCGGTTTTTTTCTAGCTTACTTCTATATTACCAAGCATTGCTCATCACCCTAGACATAGGCTATGGATGTATTACCCACTCCTTAACTATGTCAGCCAATGAAGATTAATAGCTTCATCAATAGACTTCGTTCTTTTATTCAGAAAAGTCTAAGTATTCAGAAATAACTATTTCACCATCCTAATACCTTTGGGATATAACATACTATAAGTAACACCTACACTAGAAAATTCTTTCTAACTTCATCTTCATCTACTTTTGTCAGTTCACTATCAATCAAGTGTACGATTTTCAGCCACCAAATCACAGTATCGAAAGTCGCTACACTTACTACAGTTTGAGCAGCCAGATACTAAGAGTATCACTAGCTCTCATACCTAAGGTATGTCTCAGAACTCAGTACAAGAATTTGTACTTGATAGATAAGTTAACCAATAGTAATTCGTCGGACTAATAAAGTAATCGGTAAATGATACTTTGAATTTACCTATCAAGCTTTTTAACCACGGAATAGTTAGTCGTTTAACCGATTAAATCCCTGAAACAAGCATTTTTAACTTTTTATCCAGATTATTTGTATTTCGAACAATGGAACATTTAAATAGATTGTTGGTGATGATAATAATAAATGATTACATTAACGTATATTATTGATCATTAACGTACTTATTTATGTGTTATGTAGTGCCCTTATTTGTGTTTCCTTTTATTTCATTAGGTGAAAAATGGTATGATAGTAGTTGAAACAGCTCTCATGAAACAACAACAGTCTTGTCTAGTCAGTTCTACCAATTCACCACTTAAGACTTTCCTCATTAATGGTTATGAAGACGGAATAATGAGCACTATTAAATCACCTACAGCTCCATCTTTCTCATCATTAAAAACAACAGCTGTAAAACCAGTTGATAACCATGAATCCGAGGCGTTAATCGCTCCTCCATCTAGATTACCTATTCAAGATGTTGGTGGCTGTGGTAGTGGTTGGATAAACCCACTGAAAGCGTCAAATTCATCATCACTATCTATTGTAGACAAGCATACAAATCATCCAGGGTCAATTGCTACGTCTAATTCCCCCGCTTTGTTGTTACATTATGAAACTCGACGTCGTAAACCATCCAATGAACAACAACTGTACAACGATATTCATGATGAAAATGATTGTAAGTTTTCTTTTTCTTTCCTCTGGCTCGCGTTTATTTGTCCCACCAGTAAATAAGAAAATTAAATGATGATTTAAAACGCAGTACATTTCAGTGAAACAGTAAGGATGAACCTTGTATATTGTTAGCGGTATGAAGGTTAATAGTGATCTCGGTTATCATAGATCGGAATTGTTCGTAGCTAAAAGGAATAGCTACTTGTGGCTGGTCGTTTACATGACGTCCTTATAAATAGTTTATTGTGCGCTAGCTCTGTTTTCCTAACGACTTCTCACGGATATCGGTTATATATGAGGAGTGACTAAACAGGCTATTTTGAGGACCAACTTTTCCCATCCCTTTCCATTGTTGAAAGACAGTTTCTTCGGAGATGCTGGCTACCCGTCTGAAATTCTCCAAGAAATTAGAGACTATGATTTTCCATGCCTACTTTTTTATCTTATTACTCTCATGCTAACTTATCCTAGCATAGTAGTCACTGTAGGCAAATCCAGACCGCACAAATAATTCCGTTTGGTTTGCGATTATTTATTTATTTGAACTCATAAATATTGGTACAAGGAAGCACCAGATACATATGCGCCACACAAATCTCATTTGATTTGTGTGAGGGCTGTGATACTCCCGGGTGCCCAGACTGAAGCAGATGGTTTTCTTAGGGGGCCACATCCCGAGCCTTTGACATGGAGGTCTAGTCCACAAGGCAGTGGAACATCGTAAGGAGATGCAGTACCATGGTAGCCGTTGACCGACGATTGATTCATACGCCATTTGTTCCTTTAGGATACTGGAGCCCATGTGCACCATTGATTTAGAATCAGGGCTTTCCAACTCCCCTAAGTGGACTCGCAGTGTCTACCAACCCGGTTAAAGCGCCGGACATGCACTTTTCGTCTTTTCAATTTCGTAAACAACACCCCCACCACGAGAAGGCAGTGAGTAGGACTTCCCTGTCAGAGGCTATATACGCGTGGCCATATGAGAGCATTTGGAGAGGGAGAGTGGACTCTCCCCATTCTCGGCCGTACCAGGGCATTTGGGGGCGATTAAGACAATTCGAAATTACTACACGATTAATTACTTCTCACTTACTTGATTCAATAACAAATTTTAAAACGAATAACTTTAAAGTTTCGTTTCATCATTGTGTCATTCGATCATTTCGAGATGCAGATTCTCAGAATACGTGATTCGACGATAAGCATTTGCATTTTTTCTTTCATAATAAACAAATGAGCATTTTCTCAATCTTAAATAGTTTGTAATGTAGTTTGATACTGAAACAATATCTGACGACTATTCATACCAAAGTAGGTGAATAGATGAGTCGATAATTTACTACTGTAGTATTCGAATTTTAACTATAAGGTCTCACTATCAAAATTCACAGATGGTTTGCTTTGAGAAGATGGGTATTATTTCTAATTATCATGTAATAAATGTCTGTATTCGATTACTGACTTTAAATCCCACAAAGGTGTTTATAAACTACTCGATATTTTGATAATCGTGATTACTATGGCTCACGACTTTAGTGACCCGAAAACTAACTCCGATTTGGATGAATGAATAAATGAATATAAATCTTCCATTTAGTTCCGTATACTACACCTAGGCTAACCCCGTTTTAATGACGGCTGTAATAAGAAGCCTCAAATACTAATTGTGTCGGATGAATTTATTTCAACTATTCTTTTGCTCAGATGTACTTGAAAAGTTGGAGGCCGTGAGCGAAGCGGACCGGATAGGCAAGCGTGCTAACTCCCCTTGATAAAGCATAACTCACCGTTCAGAGCCGTACAAAAATAAGTTAAAAACACTTGACGAGTGGAGTAAGCGATATATATACACACATGCATAAAAAAATTCAGGGTTATGGGCGAGTAATTAACAAGACCAAAATGCTACTCGAGAATAATCCATGTGTGCGTGACATAATGTAATGAACGAAATCTTGAGTAGAGTAAATCAGTTTATTGTATTGAACAAAATTGTTATAATTATCCGTTTTCCTGTTTTACACAAATGGGACGTTAATTTACCTTAGACGAATATGTACACTAGATTCCCTCCCAGTGTCTATTCTACAGGACTTCAACACAACTCAGATCAAGAACACGTGATTAGCCTGACTAGAACGCAAACATATTTCCACTCTAAAACCGACACAATCCAACAACAATGAACAATCAATCAGTAATAGTGTTATATCCCCTGGTGAATTATGAATCGTAAATCTGAGGTCTATTATCGACCAATGTATTATGCCTATTTCTTATTGTACAGTTGTTACGTAACTAAATTATTCATATTCGTGTTTTCTATTATTTTGATCTTTGATTTATGATCATACGATTCTTGAGTTATAATCAGTTTATTGATTACTTTGGTTTGTATAAAAACCCAGTATGCTTGTAAATAATGATTCATATTTCCGAGGCTGTTATTTGTGTTCTGGACTCAACTGGCTGGGCTAGGCAGTTAGGAAGGACCGAATAGCACCCAAGACTGTTCAGGGCATACGCTTAAACAGTGGCGACGGGGATTTTGGTACGCAAAAGAAAAAAGTATACAGTTTTCGACGGGGATTCTGGAAAAAAATACAGCAATCAAGACTGCTCGTACGTATTTCAAGTATCATTTGCATCCGATCAGTAAAATCCACTACATCTCCAATTGCACGTCCATATATATTACGAGTCCATACGATATAACAACTGACGACGAGGCAAAAAAAAATGGCTTTAACTTCCGATCAATTTCAGTTGCTAATTCAGAGACAAGAGCAGCGTTTTAAAAAGAGTCAGTTGGATTTCATTGACAAGTTACACGCGACGCTGCTGAATCACCCATGCTTTGGGGGTGCAACGGAAGTTGACGCATTGATTTCTAAATTGCGTACAGAACTGGAAGTCGATTGCAGAACAAATGAATATACCAGTGAAAGCCTCAATGAATCCATGACAAACAGTAAATTAAACGAAGCAATAACAGTCCTACATGATCAGCCCAGTAGTCCGGTGCTGCCTGTTTCAGAGACATGCCCTATACACGGTCCAAGTCCTATTAACCCCGAAAACGGACGTGCAAACAGTGGATCAACCTGTTTACAGAAAGACAATGTTTTGCTGAATGCTCATGGAATTACTGTAGTACCCGCCCACGAAGAAACGGGGAACAAATCGGGCAGTATATTGAATACAGTGGCGCCAAATCAAACCAGTCATGATGCAAAAAAGTTTTTTTATGAATCTAATGATCAAGATTATCTAATTGTTCTGCCAGATCCCGATTATTTTGCTGATTCATATGTTCCAGTTCAAATCTCTTATAAAAATGGGAGAAAAATATCGGATGCATTAAATGATAATCAAGAATCCAATACAACTTTCATAGATACTGATTATCCTAATGATTCATTATCTACTAATGAGGTTCCGAGTAAATTCAAGGAAAGTGTTTCAAAAGAATCAGACGCCGGTGACCTCAAATCGAATGTCGTCGATCCTCACGATATAATCAGTTCTGGTGGATTCTCTGTTAAATACGACGAATATGTTTTAAATAATGTCACAATAACGGTAACTTGGGTACATGAGGATCCAACAATCTTTCGTGGGGGAGGGTGAATTCGAGAAATTTAAAATCCGGATGTCAACTCCGGATTTCTCAAAAAGGGGAGGTGTTATATCCCCTGGTGAATTATGAATCGTAAATCTGAGGTCTATTATCGACCAATGTATTATGCCTATTTCTTATTGTACAGTTGTTACGTAACTAAATTATTCATATTCGTGTTTTCTATTATTTTGATCTTTGATTTATGATCATACGATTCTTGAGTTATAATCAGTTTATTGATTACTTTGGTTTGTATAAAAACCCAGTATGCTTGTAAATAATGATTCATATTTCCGAGGCTGTTATTTGTGTTCTGGACTCAACTGGCTGGGCTAGGCAGTTAGGAAGGACCGAATAGCACCCAAGACTGCTCAGGGCATACGTTGTAACAAATAGTATTAAATTATAAGGATAGGGGAAGATATAATTCATCCGACACCTGTCAGACTATCTACAAGTTTGACTAAGCAGACAACTAATCATTCTCGCCCACACATCAGAATTCACACACTGTAATTGTAAAATATGAAAACAGTACATTGAATACATCATTTGCATACCTTTCTTGAATTGTCTCACGAATTCCATCGTTCTTTCATTCCTGTTGCTACTCGGACTGCTTCTCTCTTTCTCTTCTCATGTTACTCCTGTTTATCTGTATAATTAGCACACACGACTGTAGTACTAGAATACATTATTGTAAGTTTGATTTTCGTCACCGTTTGCAACATCAAATAAAAAACCGCTGAAAGATTAATGAGCAATGGGCAGTTGTTTGATTTTACAACCTGGCCAGTGATTGAAAATACAAAACCTTAGATCACACTCTGAGAATCCTATGATCCTTATTCTCTAATTCAATCAATTTCCTATCCTTGGCGTGACATCATTCAGTACCGTTGATAGACGATTACTATACACTTACTTAAGTTGGCTAAATTGTACCAGCTTACTGTTTCTCACTAGAACTTCAGTAGTTCATCTCTCGAGGTCAGTCACCAGTTAGTGATCTTACAATTAATGTTCAGTTGAGGTAAGTTAGTGAAGATTAGTTTCAGATAGGAACCATTAAGATTCATTGGGGGGATTGACTTGAAAATATTCTCCTATTGTTATTAGTTGTCCTTAAACTCATTAGTGATTTGTTTAAATTCATTTATTCATTTCTAGCATCACCATCAACATCCAATCATTATCATCAACCAACACAAGGAATTTTAGCATCATATCCCCATTCTACTATATTGTCTTTAGCTAATCGTAATTCGGCTAGTGTTGTTTACACTCAATCACCTATTGTATCAATTCCTAGTCGAAATGATAGACAATCATCTTCTGATATGAAAGGAGGAAATGAATTGACTGTTATGGATGGTAAATCAGTTGAAAGTTATTCACATCATTCACAATATCAGCACACTGAATCTTCAACATCGCTTAGTAAACCATTAAATGAAATCCAGTCCAGTTCTGGAGTAAGCCAAGTTCAAATATCTATTTTCTTTATCGAATATTTACTTTTAACTATCCTTCGCTGGTGTTATGACTTACAATACTTGATAACATAGTTGATAAGTACTCTTTTCAGCAGTGTTTAGTTCCACAATATAATTATCTTGCCCATTAACATGGTTTGGTGGTATAATCCAATGTTCAACCGTTTCGTTATTTTTTCTGCACAGAAAAATTGATTTTAGTTTCATACAAGAATAACTGTTGTTATGAATTGAGATTTCATAAGTAGATATGGTTTATTGTTCGCTAAAATAAACGAGCAGATCGTCAATTGATAGGTAAAATACAATGATACATTGTGTTTTGACTGATGACTGTTCACGAGACCTTTTTATTGGTACAAACTCTTTTTCCCCTCCCTCCAAATTGAACTGATATCAGAAGACAAAACAAATTAGTTGCTCAGTAGAATAGATTTATTCCTAATAAAATAACATGCTCATGAACGAAATATTTCATAAATGAATAAATGAGATTGAAAGAAAATCACATTTGTAGTAGGCAGGTCACTTGCGCTTGACCTTAACCATCATATTAATTACGAGCAACTATTTTATGAAGGTCCACTTTTTCTATGAATAATAATACTAAAGAGTGAAAACAACAGATGCAATCGGTAGGCGAAAATGTCGTTCTCCACTTGCATTCGGTGTGAAATACTGAGGAGTTCTGTATTCGAGGATTTTTCTCTTACCAGATAGTTCGAAAATAAGTGGACATGGTTACATTCGCCCTACATGAATTATCGATGTTCGATGTGCAACAATATGTGAATATTACGACTTATTGTTTTGAGATTAAATAATGTAACTGTGAGGCGTGTGGCTATCTTGATTTATTAGCTAAGTGAATAGTGCGTTGACATTTGAAGTGAAGTTGCTGTATTCGAATCTAAATGTGAACGTCAACCTTAGAGTATATCTGTTTGATGAGTCCTAAATAGGACGAAATGCTAACACTGGATCCTAGTATTAGACACAATCTTTATATCCTAAAGAAATTTGAACTGACCAATCAAAAATTAAACACTGTAGATGTGACGTATCAATGGTGGCAATCCATGTTTTTTGTAAATTGACGAGACTATAATTTATGGACGAGCTAATCAGGAGCGTTTGAGGGATTTCAAGGCCACGGCGCCGATTTCAGTACCTGTTGCTCATGTACGATCGGTTCACAGAGAATTATAAAGAAGACTTAACAATTAAGCGGCTACAACAAATGAGACTATTAAGAAGTTCCTGCATTGGTAATTGCTGGTATTAAATGACTTGTAGAGCTTGCGCAGACTACCGTGATATTGTCCTTCGATGTAATATATGTTGAAGGAGGACGTTTGCTAGAATAGGAACCTTTATCGCTCGATCCAGATTGAGACTAAGGCATATTATAATTATTGCCGCAAACTGTATAATAAAAGCACCAGTATTATTGGCTGCAATAATCGCAGATGTTACTGAAGCTTCGTCTAATTAGTGATATGAGTATTGTAGGGATATATGCGTAATAAAAATGACAAGCTTACACAACCGGAGTACATACAAACAATATTGAAGCTATGTGGTCGAGGCTGAGAGACTTTTTGTGATCACATCATGGCTCCAGAGACCAACTATTATGGTGTCATATAGATGAGTTCCTCTACCTTATGCATTACGATTTTGAAACCTTTGAATCTTTTTCTAACCTTGACAAGTTTTTGGACCATATAAAAGAGGTGCATCCACTTTAATTATTTGGTTTTGTATAATATATTTTTACTCTATGCTGACTGTTTACTGATTAGCTAACATTTCTGAAGTTTATATTATATTCATTCAAAGGTCGTCTATAAATTATAGTCTCGCCTGTAAATTGTATACAAAGTGCGAAACATTGACAGTATTCAGGAACCCAGGGAAATTTTTAAAATCAATGTTTGGATAAGGCCAAAGCAGTACACAAACATATTTTCATACTATCTTAAACTCTGTTACCCCAGTAACACAGATTAACACTTAAACTCAGTGACGTTTAATAGACACAAATAATACAAAAAAAACGTTAACATTCTTGTATTTTTATGCATCATCGACTATCTTAAAATTGTAGGATCAACGCATAAACATAATGTTTATCCAAATGTCAATCTCCATGTATCCATTATGTAGAAATAATATACACTAAGAATATTAAGAAGACTTTACATAGTAAAGAATCTGGACTGTTGAAAACTTGTTTTGTCATCTCAACAATTCACTATATACATATATATTTGACTTTTTTTTCTTATTAAATTTTATTTTAACAGATTATGATGGGATTAACTTCTACTGCATTCAATCAATCTACATGTCAACAACGAACATCAAGTATTGCTCAAGCAATGTATGGTATATCTCAAACAATTACACCATCATCTGGTTTATTAACACCTAATCCACCACCAAAAGGACCAATATATAAATGGACTCCTGATGATGTTGTTGCATTTGTTCGTGGTACACCTGGTTGTGGAGCATATGCATCAGCATTTTTAAATAATGAAATAGACGGTGAAGCATTATTATTATTAGCTGAAGATCAATTTATTCAACCACCAATTGGTATGAAAATAGGACCAGCTTTGAAATTAGTTGCACGATTAGAATCTTTAAAGAATTGTTGTTAATGATAACATTATTTAATAGAATAATAATAATAATAATAATAATAATAATAATAATAATAATAATAATAATAATAATAATAATAATAATAGTAATCCGGAATCTACACATAAACACAGATTTATTTCTATATATATATTTTATGCTGACTTATTTAAACTTTATACCCTTTACTTAAATTGTAACCTCCCTCTCTCTCTCTCTCGGTTGAAACAGTACCCTCTTCTTCATTCTATATATATTTTTTTCCGGTGATATTTATCATTTAATGTAATGTAAACTTATATCAGTTTATCATTTGACTTTCTTTTTTTATTATTCATAAAGCATTTAGCTTAATCAATCAATCAATTCATAAATCATTCTTATTATTACTACTATTATTGTAAATAAGTAAATATTAGCAAAATAATAAACAGATAAGGTTTTGTTTATTGTTCTCTTTCTATTACGTATTTGTATAAGAGTGGCAGCAGTATTTTAAGTATCAATGAATAGAAGATAGAGACGAAATGATGTTCATTTGTTCCAATTTATAATTCACTTGTTCTTATTTATTATTTGTTATTACTGTTTCACCCTGTTGTTGTTGTCCATTATTATCTTCTTTAATACAATAATTTCATATATATATCATATACGCATATTCATAAAATACAATGTTTTATTACTAAATGTAAGAAAAAAATCGTTGCTGAATGTTGTCTTTTACAAGCGAACGAGCCCTCAAATGCCCTGGTACGACCGAGAGTGAGGAGAGTCCATTCTCCCTCTCGAAAAGCTCTCACATGGCCACGCGTATATAGCCTCTACCAGGGAAGTCCTACTCACTGCCTTCTAGTGGCGGGGGTGTTGTGTACGAAAATGAGAAGAAGAAAAGTGAATGTCCGGCGCTTTAACCGGGTTGGTGGACACTGTGAGTCTACCTAGGGGAGTTGGAAAGCCCTGATTCTAAACCAATGGTGCACATGGGATCCAGTATCCTAAGAGAATAAATGGCGTACGAACCAATTGTTGGTCAACGGCTACCATGATACTGTATCTCCTTACGATGCTCCACTGCCTTGTGGGTTAAACCTTTAGGTCAAAGACTCGGGATGTGGCCCCCTAAGAAAACCATCTGCTTCAGTTTGGGCACCCGGGCAGTATCACAGCCCTGACACAAATCAAATAAGATTTATGCGGCGCATATATATCTGGTGCCCTTTTGTACCAATATTTGTGTTTAAATAAATAAAGACAAGCGAACCAAGAACTCGGGTAGGGAAGATCAATTTATTTTTTAATGCAAAATTACAGGAGTACCTTCGTAAAATATAAAAACTGTACATTAAATACATCATTTGCACATCTTTCATCAGTTGTCTCTTACAAACTTCATCGTTTCTTCATTCGTGTTGTTATTTCGATTGGTTTTAGTTTTCTTTCTCAAGTCATTTCAATCTTCTGCTCGTAGGCATTCCACTTCCTATTGCTGCCACGTACTACTTATGTCTGTCAACATAAGTAACATACAGCATATATATATATATATATCACGTTTGCGAAAACTCATTAGGAATGATATATCCATGGGGTCGTTTTTTCTAGGTCCTAATAATGTTATTTTTTTCCAAAATAATCTTTGAAGTATACTTCACTGATGAGACAGTTAGATTCAACACAGCGGTTATTGGAGTTTTACACGGAATTCAAAATTTGATGATGAATAGTTTATATCTTAATAGGAGCTAATAGTTATTAAGGCGTTTAAAATCGAGAAAGTGATCATTTTTCGTGGAGAAAATGGTAAGAAATACACATAATTGGTGAACTATTTACTCAAATTACTTGCATCCTGATCGAGTAACATTGTTTTTACCTCCTCAGAGTCATTTCAAGAGTTGTTAAAGTCCATCAGTCAGATGAACTACTTTTTTAAGAAAAAAGAATGAACCTAACTAGTTGTACTTCAATATTTTTGCCTAGCAATGTGATTTTAGTTACAATCAAATTTTCTTTTGTGAATGTCCCTTAGCCATAGATTAATTATCATACTAAATCCTTTAATTGCTGAGTAAAAATGAACATTTAAGAAATGAATTCAATTATGATATTTAAAAACCCATAATAGTCAGAATAAAGACATGTTAAAAAGCACTTGATAATACAGAAGAAAGTGCTCATTAGTAGATAAAATACAAGTGATTGACCTGAAAAATTAATGAAGAAATGGTTGACATTTACTAAAACTATATAAAGATCAAGTCAAGTTTGTGTCATTGTAGATAACTCAGTAAAGTGAAATGTGTTCTGATTAAGTTGGGTGGAAGAGGGGGTTTCAAACTATATGATAACTGAACAATTCGGGTAATCTCATTTCCCTCTATCGTTCATCTTGTATGTTTATTTAAACACATATATATTGGTACAAAAGGGCACCAGATACATATGCGCCACACAAAATAATGAAAGTAGGAAGAGAAGGGATGAAAAGATAAGGCGAACTGTAATGTACAACCAGAAGACTCTTTCAGTTAAGAAAGTTAGAACCACTCTTTATGTAGAAACTAAAAGAAGGTTGCAGCAGGATCGCCACTGGCTTCTATTCTGAGCCATATCTGATAACGTCTCTAGCCACTGTGTTGCACCATCTCTCGGACCCCAGCCAGCGAGTATTTCATTCATACATGTGGGAAATTTGAGCAGTACGTCCAGTCATTTGTTATTCCGTGTTTCAGTTTACCGCAGAGGGTAATAGTGCTCCAATTAGCTGATTTTACTCATTTCAGTTATTTAAAAATTTCCTGCATTCTACCGTTTGGAAAAAAGTGAAATTGTCAGTAATAAGTAACCGACGAGCCTCACCTTTATGGAACTGCGTCAATGACGATGTCTAGTATAAAGAATATTCCTAGACAGCTAAAATCAATAGTTATGGAACTATTTCGTGTCTAATTCTGACCACCACTAGTTTTTTTCCATTCAACTTCTACGCTAAATAAATTAACAGGTCAAACTGCGCAACAGTCCTGTAATTAAATCACAAGTCCTAGACATCTAAATCGTTAAGGTTTTGTCACCATTTCTTAGCACTACTCTATTTCGAACATCAACACCACATATTCACCGACTTCATGACAAACGAACCCCCTAAAGTTATCTAGGATCGAATATTTGGAGTCTAGTCATGTCTCGTAAACTTGGTGACCATGTTTTGGTCACCTAGGTTTTCTATTTAATGACAACAATAAAGTATAAATAACCTGACGATATCCATTGTCTGCCTATCGTTTAATACTTGAATAGGTATCACATTGTACACCAAACGACTCCGTCTTATCTACCACAAAGCCTGATTTAGGTTTATTTATGTAAACAACATTTCTGATTATCTCAGTAAACTACGGAGTCATATGCTGCTACTTATCATCTAATTAGACAGGATCAAAGAAATCTATCGGAATAGTGTAGCTTATGATTGCTTTTAGACACGTTAAGACAGTAGTGGTCATAGGTGCATGTTATTGTAACAAATAATTGGAGACGTTAAGTAATATGGCTTAGAATAAATCACAATACCCCAAATGGATTTGTTAGGTCGGCTTACAATAAACTCTATCAGAGCCTCAAGAGGGGCTCATAAAGAGCCCAACCAATCAGCGATTAGTTAGAAGCTATGCTACTAAAATAATGAGGTCCTGATTGGCTGTTAAACATATTGCTACTATGGAATCTCAAGGTCTTTTTATTTACTATAAAACCCCTGTTTTTTCTGTACATAAATGAACCATGTAGTAAAGTGTTTCTCTGATACTCGTGTCTTCTCTCTGGTCTTTCAAGTCGCTGAGTAGTGCTAGCCTGGGGTTATCCGAATAGCTAGGATCCGAATAAAGCATTCAACCTACGAGTCATAACAGGATTCACTCTTCATCTTCCTCTAGACGCTAATATTGTTACTACTTCTACAGCTGAGATTTTATCTTGACAATTTCCTATCTCTGTGAAGGTATGAAGTAGCGAATTGAAATGAAACACATGTGTTATGTTCTACGTTGCTTATAACTGAATGACTCAGACTGTTTTAAAATCCATAATGTTGTTTACACAATCCAGATAACTGAACATCACCTAGCATTATGTAGTGTACTGCCCTGAAAGTTGTCTATAGAATGTTGTTAACACGTGTAATTCTAACTACCTAAAACAATCACATGGTGCAAAAGCCATAAGCTAAACAAAATAAATTGTTAAAGTAATAAGTGACAGTTTATCAAAAATATTTATTCATCATACAGTACTTGTTAGATTTTTTTTAAAGAAAAAGAGCATTATATAAGAATAAATACATCTTTTAATTTGATTGCATAGTTTTAAGTAGAGTCCCTCCGACGGCTAAAAGTTGTAAATATTCATCAGCTCCATCAATTAGTCGAGAATCAGCAACCTAAAGATTGTTTTTAAAAAAATAATAAAAAAATAAATAACTTTTTTAACGAAAGAATAACAATTAGAAACACAGTTGGTAAGTAAGCAAAGATAGATAGTGGCTAGCAGTGGAATCCAGGACGCGCGTTTCGTTCTATTTGGGACTCGTCAGCTGGATGTACCTGAATCTCAGAGTTGATGTTCACTCTGGGACTCGAAACCAGTACCTTTCGCTTCCATCTTTGCTTACCATGCTTGTGAATTAAGGCTATATCGAGACAATACGCACAGTATGCACATATGCCAATTAGAGACCGACCAGTTGCAGTCCTAACACATCGATGGGAAGATTCAAACAAACAATACTAAATGAATTCACAGTTGGTAAGTTCCCTAATTTTTAAACAATGTCAATAAAACATTCTTTATATACTGAACAAAATTGAAAATCATCAAAAATTAACATAATTCTTATAAACCTCTGTGATAAATGAACCATAGTCATTACAAACAATTAGTACATCTCTTATCCTTTATATGTTAGATTTGTTCTGTGTCAACTTGATCATAAATTCTGTAATTATTTTTCAGAAAACAAGTAATTTCAGTAGTTTAATATCAGAAGGAGTTTTTGTGGAGATTTCAGTGTTTTCATAGTTGAAAGCATGAGTCCATTGAAGCTAGACCACTATGGAAAACCTGGAAGTACTGGACGGTCATTTCGTCCTATTGCGGGACTTCTCGGCAGTGCGCATCTACGACCTCGCCTAGAGAGATTCGAACCCAATACCTACCAGTCTCGCGCCAGAACACTTAACCGATAGACCACTGAGCCGGCATCCGATGATGTTTAAGTCAAGAACTGATTTCAGATAGACCATCGTTGAAAACCTGGAAGCAATGTACGACCGCTTCGTTTTAAACTGATCCCCCTAAACTGATAAGAATCTCGTGTTTACTAGTGACTAACTTCAAGACACAACTCCTCAGGTTATAGTGAGAAGCCGTAACCAGTGGAGGTCAACCATATCAGATGTGAGACAGTTCCCCACCGTAGACAATAGATAAGGGGTTGAGAAAGATCATGGTCTAATTGAAGTTAGACAATGACGGTGATGGACCCCAGTTCAGTGGTCTACACGTGCCAGGCCGAAGGTTGTGGGACCGATTCACGTGTGTGGGGTGATGGATGGGCACTGCTGAAGAGTCTCATACTAGAACGAAACGGCATTCCAGTCCTTCAAGGTTTCCAGCAATGCTCTAGTTAAGATTAGTTCGTGGTTTAGGCTATGAAAATTCGACAATCTTTACTACATTGATTATAACTTATTTATTCTTAACAGACAAATTCTACTTTTTACTTAACCACTGACATCAGCAAGATAAACTAACATTATAATTATGGCTCTCCTGTTAAACCGGATTGGGTTGTACTGTTTGGTTTGTCACGTGAAAATCTGGATGGTGGCCGGTCCTCCTGAAAACCAATGTAAAATTATCCTAGCCCATAAGGGTATATTATATAACTGTGATTGCCCCCAAATACCCTGGTACGGTCGAGGGTGGGGAAATTCAGCTATCCCTCTCGAAGTGTTCTCACATGACCATGTGCATACAACCACTGACAGGGAAATCCTACTCATTGCCTTCTAGCGGCATTACTGTTGTTTACGAAATTGAGAGGACGAAAAGCAAATGTCCGGCGCTATAACTGGGTCGGTGAATATGGAGGATCCACCTAGGGGATTTGAAAAACCCCGATTCCCAATCAATGTTGCACATGAGCTCCAGGATTCTGAAGAAACAAATGGCTTCTGAACTTATTGTTGGTCAGCGGCTGTCATGGCACTGCATCTTTTGACGTTATTCCACTTTCTTGTGGATTAGACCTTCAGATCAAAGGCTCTGGGTGTGGTCCTCTAAGAAAATCACCTGCTTCGGTTCGGGAACCCGTTAAGTATCCCAGTGCTCACACAAATCGAATGATTTATGTGGAGCATATCTATTTGGTGCCTCTTAGTACCAATGTTTTTGTGTTTAAATAGATAATACTTATTCCAGACAGCTATTTACTTGTTTGATAGGTTGACTCAAACCTTTATTTGAAATCAATACAAAGAGAAAAACGGAACTCATTTAACAAGTGTAAGTTTATGTTGGGTGGTTGGGGTTAGTCACATAGTTATATGAGGGCTACTGATACTAACCTATAGAGTCTGCTTACCGTTCTCAATATAAGAATTATTAGTTGCGCAAACTATCATAACCTTCAATCTGAATGATATGGAATGGAATTTTCAGTTTACAAATGATAGAAATAATCTAATTATAAGAAAGCTAAATTTTATCATAAGGATTACTGATATTTTGGTCGAGTTTTGTCCTCTAAGCTGGGTGGTTTAATTCTGAACTTTCGTTAACCTCTTCTGAACAACTTCATTAGCACAAACATCAGATGAAGTGGGTTATCTAAATTTCTCCATATATGACTAACAGCTTGTTCTATCGACATTGATCTTAATTGGTTTCTTATTGACCATCTTCCTAACACTGAGACTCATCAACTTCGAATATATTTTAAATATGAAGTGACATAGATTATTCAAACTTCAGATTAATATTCATTTTTCATATTATTAAATACAATACGATGAATGATTACTGATTAAATACAAGAAAGGCAAATTACTTTCTAAACAGTACTTACGGCAATAGATTCCAAAATAGATGCTTTTTGACTACATGATAGTTTTTCATCATTGATTATATATTCGTGCAGTTGATAAGTGGTCTGATGTGCTGAATAACCTTCCAATAATAAATTCTGAAGGCAATATTAAGGAAAGAAACTAGTTATGAGGAGAGATTTTATTTTTTAAGAAAAGACGAATTTTGCATATGTTCACAATTTTCACCGTCGAAAACATAAACGGATTTCAACTAGAGCATTGATGAAATAATGATTAAAATTGATTGAGTTTAGTAATGAAGTACAGGCTTGCGTTAGCAAATTTAGATAACCATTTCATATGTAATAGTCATATATATATATATACATCCAGTTAGTGAGTTTGTAAATGTGTACATACAAATGTGGTTGGAATATGCATTACGTATACCAAGGTATCATCTTAACTCAATTTCAACCATAAATTATTCAGTATCTCACAAACACTTTCGGACTTAATTGTGTACCAAGTAAAATATCAGTCAGTTAGACTTTACAAACAATCTTTAAAGTTATTTGCCCCCAAATGCCCTGGTACGGCCGAGAGTGGGGAGAGTCCATTCTCCCTCTCGAAATAATCTCATATGGCCAGCGAATATATAGCCTCTGTCAGGGAAGTCCTACTCACTGCCTTCTCGTGGTGGGGGTGTTGTGTACGAAAGTGAGAGGACGAAAAGCGAATGTCCGGCGCTTTAACCGGGTTGGCGGACATGGAGGGTCCACCTAGGGGGAGTTGGAAAACCCTGATTCTAAATCAGTGGTGCACATGGGCTCCAGTATCCTGAGGGAACAAATGGCGTACGAATCAACCGTTGATCACCGGCTACCATGGGACTGCATCTCCTCACGATGCTCCACTGCCTTGTGGATCAGACATTCATGTCAAAGGTTCGGGGTGTGGCCCCCTCAGTCTGGGCACCTGGGCTGTATCACAGCCCTCACACAAATCGAATGAGATTTGTATGGCGCATATTTATCTGGTGCTTCCTTGTACCAATATTTATGTGTTTCAATAAACAAATAAAAGTTATTTACTGACAAGTTCTTTAAGATATCACAAAATTAGTGTTAGATTGAGAGCTCAGATTCTTAATATACCGCGTACTACTTGAGCACTAGAAGGCTAGGACCCTCCAAGTCGCAAAATGAGAAGATAGAAGACGAGTGAGAAGGAATATTATCCCAACAGTGTTAAATATGGTACAAAACTTTCAGGTACTTATAGTTTTTAGTAAAAACGAAATCATCATTACAGTAATCTGATCCGCAAACAATGGCTTTTAGCATTTGTTCAACAGCGAAGCTACACGTTGAGATCCTGGAATGTTCTTCCAAATGAGGACCGGATGGAATATCTTCCGTTCTTTCTGAGTTTCTTAAAGCTTCCTTGAGTTTATTGTGGGCCGTCCTAACAATTAGGTTCAATATGAGTGTTTTAAAGCAATACTTCTCAATCTTGTCAGGTTACCTTTCGTTAATTCATATGAGATTTGTGTAATATAACTATACTACTTGTAAGTAACTTTACTTTCCATGGATAATTTCTCTATTCACATTCTAGCGAGCTATTTTACTAGTTAATGTAAACACGATATTCGGTTAGCAATATTAAATTGATCATTTCTTCTACTCTTCCATGCTTATGACTCACTATTTTTTACTAATCACACTAAATCAAAAGCAGGTTTATGGTAATAGGTGGATAGTGGATGCATTTATCCGGATGAAAGTGAAAGGAAACAGAGAGTAATTGGAATAACAATAGAATTGGAAGAATCATAAAGTATGTAAAGGACAATTGATGGAAGATGTGCAAACGATGTATTTAATGTATGAATTTCGAATTCTACGAAAGCGCTGTGTACTTTTGTATTAAGCAATAAGATGGTTTTCCTAACCGGAGTTCTCGTTCACTACATATTCACTTCATGTTCATTATCGAGATATCTGGCAATCGCTTTTGTAAGGACTTTACTCACTTTCAGCCGTAGGTTCCTAGGGATGTGTTTAGAAAACCTTGTAGAGGTCCTTCTCTCTGTCCTTCCTATGTAATTTCTACCACACGCACATGTAAATTCATAGATGCAATTGAAAGTAACGTCAAAAGGGTATTGATCTACCTTTGAATGGCATAAAAACACTTGATGCGTTGTAAAGTGAAACTAATTGAGCGGCAGGGAAGTTTTTTAGTACCTCCTTGACTCACCCATTGATTCTTCATGAAATCTCATCTCCTTTGAACGGAAGGCCGATGATGAAAACGTTTTGAATAGATATCTTTTGTAACTGATAAGAGAGATGTTTAAGTTCAAATACTGTCCTGTCCATGTTTCTTTTCTATACATACTTTTCCCAACACTTCCATCATTTTTCCGTCTTACATTAAGATTTAAAAAATTGAATTAGTTATCTTTTTCATATTCCATTGTAAACGTTATGTTGAGATGAGAGTTGTTGAGGTGACTAAGTAACCGAGAAGCATGGTCCATATCAACACAGATTATGAGAGCATCGTCAAGATAACTGGTGTAGCACAGTATGTTCTGGATTTCGTGTTTTATTCTAGTTTGTTCTAGGTTAACCACGAAAATGTCAGTCAAGAAATACACTAATGGTAAACCCATGGTCACTTCATCGGTTTGTTTGTATAATTGATTGTTGAATTGGAAATGAGCCCCTTTCGTGAAAAGTAGTAATAATTTTCTCAATTAAATTTTAGGCAACGGAAGTAATTCGGATTGTTCGCAAATTATATTAATAGTTTCTTCTAGTAGTATGCTCGTAAATAATGGACATACATCAGAAGATACCATGAATTTATTTGACATATTCAATTGATCCAATTCTCAGGAAAACGGAAATGCGTCCTTTAAACTATTCGTCACCAGTTTTCTACGAATTGGTCCTAATAATTTGGCTAACCATAAAACCAACTTTTGATAGTGGTAGCTTAGTGATCTGTGCAGTACAATAATAAACTGTAATCGACACTTTTTATTGTCTTCTGAAACTTACGCACTGTTGGGATTTATTTAATAATGGTTAAGACGATTGATATACGAAACCTTAGAAATTATATTGAAGACAGTCAGTCAGCTAAAACGTAGGACCAGGCACACATATACATCGGTCCAAGTTGCCATACCTCGTTAGCACAACAAGATGAACACCGAATTCATAGTAGTTAATTTAGTGGTTGTAATTTATAAAAGAAAGATTGTATATAAGGATATAGTACAGGAAGAAAGACAAAAGTTATGAAGCAATTTTAATCTCAAGGTTTAAGGGAAGATAAAGAGTGTATACACCGACGCTATTGTGATCGATTCTGAGCCATGTCACCCAGAGTCTCCAACCATTGGTTACGATAATCACGCGGACCCCAACCAGGTAGTCTGCATCTACCAACATGGCTCAGACTAGAAGTTAGTGACTTCAAGCACTGATGCTATGTTTTCGTTTGGCCACCCCTAACTCTCTTCCAACCATCCCCTACACTAGTCAACATTGCGCGTCGTGGTAATCGGTGTTCAGGCATACGTAACACGTGGCCCAACCATCTCAGTCGGTGAAGATTCACAAGTTCACTTACTGATTTACCATTATTCCCTAATACCCTGTGTCTATCCTCACTATTACTTACCCTGTTATCCCAGCAGATGCGAGCAATATTTTTAAGGCATCTGTGGTCAAACACCAGTAACTTACGAGTGTCTTCTACTCTTAATGGCCATGTTTCACAGTCGTACAGTAAAACAGAGCGAACTGCTGCGCAGTATATTCGTCGCTTAATTGATGGACGGATATCTCGTCTTCGCTATAGGTGACATAAGTTGGCAAAAGCCAAACGAGCTTTTTGAATCCGTGCTGAGATTTCGTCAGACACCAACCCATTAGAGCTGATCAGACTTCCAAGATAAGTGAAGTTGTCGACGCGTTCGACTACTTCACTCGCTATCCTTAGTTCGGGTGTTGACGCAGGCCAGTCCTGGAGTAACAATTTACATTTAGATGGGGAGAAACGCGTTCCAAATATCATGGCATTGTTACTCAGTTCTATCTTTTAAGTAACGTAGGTGTTGTTCAGGTTTTTTAAAAACGAAAATGAACAATTTATAATCACACTATTTGAGCAGAGAGAACGCGACATCACTAACAAAAGCAATACTATTTATTGTATAAAAATAAAAATCAGGCCTATACCCAAAAAAAACTCACTTTGATAATGATTTGTAAATCATCGAAACTACCATTTTCTGATGTTTTAATAAGACTTTTAATTAAATCACTAGGAACAACAGCTGCAGCCTCATCTAATTCTTTTGAGGTAATCGAAGAACGACAACCAACATCGGAATCATCAACGGATAGAATTAACTGATGAACACATTGTAACATTGTGATGCCTTGCCGTAAATCACCATGACAAAGTGACAGTAAATGATCCAATGTCTAAAGGACAATTTTGTTTTAGAAAGACAATAGGATTGTAGGGAAAATAATTTCACGTATAATATGGAGTTACAATGAATATCCATACATTCTAGTGTTACATGTTCTGTACAACGATGTTAAACCGTTAACCAGCTACACAAATCTCACTTCAATTAATAAATATTATAATTGTGAGATATATAGATCTGAGATAGGAAAATACCTACAATTCATCAAACCGGTAGCCTAGCAAAGATTTTTCTAGATAAATAATTAGATTTCCTGACGTTTCGTGACTCAATGTAAGCCACTTCTTCAGAGAATGAATAACCAAATTAAAATTAACCCAAGTTTAAATAGTACAGCGAAACAACAAGAATATTAAGTGATCAATCAAAAACAGGTCTGAATAAATCAACGTCAAGTCATTTCGGTTAAGGTAATTCATAAGCTAGATGTATGTACATTTGTGTTTATGTATATGTGCACTGTTAAGGATGAAAATTGTATGACTTTTATGGTGAGAAAGGATAGAGTTCAATTGTTAATGTAATTGTGTGAATTGCAAATAATATCAGACTAGGTTGCCACGATAGATAATCCAAGTAGGATGTATGGTAAGGCCTTCTTTTCTATTGAGAGAAGTCGGGTTAAGTATTATATGGGACGCTTCAGCTACTCTCCTTTCTTTGTAATTGGAAAAGCCTTTTTGTAATATTTTGATATTTTTGAAATCGATTTGGTGATTGTTGAAAATGGCATAAACTGCTATTGCTGATTTAATTTGAAGTCTATCCAGTTCTACAGGATTATTAGGAGGTTTCTTTGTGTACCTAATATGTTCTTTGGTACGAGTCAAGATTTCGCGAGATGACTCTACAATATAGAAGACATCACAATCGAAAGCCTAATTTGTAGACGTATTTCTGTGTAGACATGAATGGGATTTTTTTCTTTTAATCGAACTAAAGTATTTCGAAGTGTGTTCGTTGTTTTGTAATATACTTTATTTCTGTGTTGTTTTAAGATTCTTTGGAGTTCTTCTGTTGTGCCATAACGGTATGGTAAAACTGCAGTACCAAACCATAGCATTTAATTCGAGTTATATATATATATATATATATAATCAACCTACCTCATTAGTAATAGATAAATTTTCTGCATCTGCAATATGACGCAAACGAGAACGTGCAATTTCATTATCCAATGGACGAAATCTAAACTTTGCACATCGACTTGTGATTGGTTCAATAATTCGTGTAACATAATTACAAGTTAAACAAAATCGTGTAGTTCTCATTTCAGTCTCCATTGTACGACGTAGAGCAGCCTAAATCATTAGAGGACAGATAAACTGATAAGCTATATATATAATAGAATGTGGTATTACAACTTGAATTGTCGCAAATCTGTGACATACCCTACGTGGATTCATGGCTGACTGAAAATATAAGAAAATTAGAAATACAACCAAGTAATAGATAAACGAACATTTCGGATGTAAAGCCAGAAGCCCGGTAAGAGATAGTATTTTCTTAAGCAATATATCTGAAAGATCCGTTTAAAATATTGAGTACTGGTTCAAAATATCGTCTGACACGTTTTGATACATATTTAACCTTTGAAAACTACGATATTTCGCTAATTTTTTTTGTAAATTTTCCGTAAGTTCGTGTAACTACACTTTCTTGAGCGTGTACGAAATGCATTATTATCTAACTGAAATTGGTCCTGTAAACTCAACTAGACATTATCCATTAATTCAATGTATTTGTTTTGATTAGGTGTTTAACCAATCAACTAGTTTGTTTTCAACTAAAATGAAAACAAACAAAAAACGATAAAATTTTATGAAATTGAAATACACACAGGAAAAGAAAGCAAACATACTTGTGCAGGTGCTGTCATAGAATCAGCTTCATCTAAGATTATTAATTTATATGGTGGTATATTAGTTGAACTTGAACCAGAGCTATTAGTACTACTACTAACAGCAATGTGAGCAAAAGCCTTCACTTTTTCTCGAATAACACTGATCCCGCGTTCGTCGCTCGCATTCAATTCTAAAACACGTTCCGAATACAAAGGGCTTGAAAAGAAAAGAAGATAGTTCATCAAAGAAAACAAATGATAAAACATTTGAAACTTGGAGAAAAGACAATTATGTCGAGATAAAATTGGTTGTGCAAGATTATGGAACGATTGAAGTTAGACATGAACATCGTTGAATGTCGGCTCAGTGGTCTATCGGTTAAAGGCTCCGGCTTGAGACTGGTAGGTCTTGGGTTCGAATCTCGCGAGTGGGGGATCGTGGATGCGCACTGTTCCTGCTTCAGTCTGGGCACCTGGGCAGTATCTCAGCACTAACACATATCGAATGAGATTTGTGAGGCGCATATTTATCTGGTGCTTCCTTGTACCAATATTTATGTGTTTAAATAAAATAACAGTGATATAGAGATTAAGCGTTTGCGCGCGAAACAGAAGGTCCTCGGTTCAAGTCCCGCAAACGAGGTCGTGGATGTGCACTGCTGAGGAGTCCCATACTAGGGCGAAACGGCCGTCCAGTGCTTCCAGTTTTCCAGTGGTGGTATGCCTTACATCAACTCAAGAATTCAAGTTTTTAAATTAACGTCATTTAGCCTGTACAATATTTTAAGATATTAACAATAATTTTGGTAGTACTACAAAGAGAGGAAAAAGCCAAATGATATGATTGTACTCGATTGTTACTAGGATAATTATGTGATCCAAAAACTACACCGACTGTTAGACTGATATGATGAATCATAATCCGTTTAACTACTAATTGTACCCGCCCCCAAATGCCCTGGTACGGCCGAGAGTGGGGAGAGTCCGCTCTCCCTCTCGAAATGCTCTCATATGGGTTGGTGGATATGAAGGATCCAACTAGGGGAGTTGGAAAACCCTGATTCCAAACCAATGGTGCACATGGGCTCCCGTATCCTGAAGGAACAAATGGCGAATGAACCAGTTATTGGTCACCGGCTACCATGAGACTGCGTCTCCTCACGATGCTCCCCTGCCTTGTGGGTTAGACCTCTAGGTCAAAGGCTCCGGGTGTGGCCCTTTAAGAAAACCATATGCTTCGGTTTAGGCACCCGGGCGGTGTCACAGCCCTCTCGCTAATAAATGAAATGAAACATTCAACTGACAATTATATTCTCGTTCATGCTAGAAACAAATCAATTTGCATTATTATTATTATTTACCATATGGCTAATTCACCCCCTTTTATCCCCGAATTGTGTGTCCTTCCTTTCCAACTTATGCAGCAGCTCGCCCATGGTGGAAAATCTGTCCTATCTAAACGATCTCCAGTCACCGTCTGGTTGAAACTGAATGCTTCCACCGATTACGAATACTGAAGCAGTCTTTCTGAAACCACGTACGCCGTTCAAGCTGGCTTCCTTCAACGTTCGCACACTAATGCAGATCAGACAACAGATGGGGCTGGCTGTCTTTGGAAGGTCTTAATGTTGACGTTTGTTGTATATCCGAGACCCGTATTCAAGACTCTAGTGAAGTAATACAAATCCGCTCTCCATCTGTCGCCTCGAAAAGCTTGTTTCACGTGCGCTTATCCGGGGACTCTCTGGCATCTTCGTCTGGTCTTGCTGGCGTTGGTGTTGCACTGAGCGCTAGAGCTGAGGCAGTACTAATCGATTGGGTCCCCATTAACAGTCGGTTATGTGCTGTTAGATTAGAAAGTTCCATCAAAGTGAGAAGAAATCGGCGTGAGAAACGGTGTCTTTTCGTCATCTCCACCTATGCCCCGACAGATTGCAGTCCGGATGCAATCAAGGATGAGTTTTACCACCAGTTAACAGTTCTCCTCCAGAAAGCGCGTTCGACAGATATTGTAGTATTAGCCGGAGACTTGAATGCTCAGGTCGGGCGTCTATGCACAGAAGAGAGTCGTTTAGGTGGCCGATGGGGACTTGTTGGTCGCCGGACAGATAACGGGGACCGTTTGCTGTAACTGTGCACAGACCACAACCTGTTTCTGACCAGCACTAACTTCCGGCACAGTCATCGCCGGTGTGCCACCTGGCGTCCTTCCTCTGCATCTCAAGCCTGGACTCAGATTGATAACATCACGATCAGCTACCGCTGGCGTGGTTGTGTACAAGACTGCCGTTCCTTTTGGAGTACCTATCTGGAGTCTGATCATGCCCTGGTCTGCGCCAATCTCACCTTACTTTTCAGTGGCCGAAGGATTGACCACCACCAACGGATCGATGTTAGTAAACTGGCTGCAACATCTGTTGCAAGTAAGTATCGAGCGAAGCTAGCCTCTAGGCTAGCTACCATCCCACCGAAAAGTATAGATGAGCATTGGAACTCCAACTCTTGAAACGTTACAAATCACCGGGCCCAGAGGACTTACCTCCGGCTCTTTTTAAAAATGGTGGTGACTTTCTGACTAAGGAATTGACTGTGTTGTTTGCAAAGGTTTGGGAACTAGAAAGTGTTCCAACATCATGGAATGAGTCAATAGTCGTCCCTATCTTTAAAAAGGGTTCACGTTGTTCCTGTAACAACTATCTGGGGATAAGTCTACTTCCGATTGCGTCCAAACTATTGGCTTCTATCATTCTTCGTAGGTTGTTTAAAACCCGAGAACGATTGACTCGCGAGGAGCAGGCTGGTTTTCGTTCTGGTCGAGGATGCATTGATCACATCTTCACCCTCCGCCAAATGTTAGAACACCGTCATACTTATCGCAGGCCAACAATCGTACTGTTTCTTGATATCAGGGCTGCCTTCGATTCGTTGGATAGGGCTGATCTCTGGGATTGTCTATTGAAGAAGGGTGTGCGTGAGAAGTTTATTAACATCTTAAAAGCTCTGTATACGAACACCGCCATCGACGACATCCTGGAAACAGCTCTGATGGATGTAAGTAATAGCGGTGTGGATATGCTGCCTGAAGAACGACTTCTCGACCTCGAGTATGCGGATGATATTGTCTTACTGTGCGATAATGCCCAAGGCATGCAATCCGCACTTAATCAGTTGGCAATCACTGTCCGCAGGTACGGCATGTGCTTTGCACCCTCCAAGTGCAAGGTACTCCTAAAAGACTGGCAGAATTCTCATCCTGTACTCACCCTAGATGGTGAGCAGATTGAAGTAGTTGAGAAGTTCGTGTATCTAGGTAACTACATAAGTGCTGGTGGGGGCGTGACGGATGAGATTGATGCACGTATAATGAAAGCCAGAGCGGCTTATGCCAATCTGGGCCATCTTTGGCGCCTTCGTGATGTTAGTCTGGCTGTAGAAGGTCGGATCTACAACGCGTCGGTGAGAGCAGTTTTGCTCTATGCTTGTGAAACCTGACCTCTCCGAGTTGAGGATGTTAGACGTCTCTCCGTGTTCGATCATCGTTGTCTCCAAAGGATTGCTGACATACAGTGGCAACACCATGTTAGTAATGCAGAGGTTCGGCATCGTGTGTTCGGGAGCAGAGACGATAATTCAATTGGTGTCACCATCTTGAAACACCGACTTCGGTGGCTTGGACATGTTTTACGAATGTCGTCCCAGAGAATTCCACGTCGTGCATTATTTGCCGACTCTGGGACTGGTTGGAAAAAGCGGAGAGGAGGTCAGTGTATGACATTGTGACGTGGCATGAAAGAAAGCTGCAAAGGGCTAGCTTCTATTGGTCCTTCACGACTCCCTGGCTGGGGTCCGAGAGATGGCGCAACACAGTGGCTAGAGACGATATCAGATATGGCTCAGAATAGAAGCCAGTGGCGATCCTGATGTAACCTTTTACTATAACTTTCCTAACAGAGAGAGCTCTTCTGGTTGTAAATTTCAGTTCCCCCATCATTACTCTTCTCCTTTTCTTTCTTTCCTTCTTTTATATATACGCATCTTCTTCCTTCTCCCATTCTCATTATTTTGTGTGGCGCATATGTCAGTCAGTCAGCTAAAACGTAGGACCAGGCACACATATACATCGGTCCAAGTTGCCATACCTCGTTAGCACAACAAGATGAACACCGAATTCATAGTAGTTAATTTAGTGGTTGTAATTTATAAAAGAAAGATTGTATATAAGGATATAGTACAGGAAGAAAGACAAAAGTTATGAAGCAATTTTAATCTCAAGGTTTAAGGGAAGATAAAGAGTGTATACACCGACGCTATTGTGATCGATTCTGAGCCATGTCACCCAGAGTCTCCAACCATTGGTTACGATAATCACGCGGACCCCAACCAGGTAGTCTGCATCTACCAACATGGCTCAGATTAGAAGTTAGTGACTTCAAGCACTGATGCCATGTTTTCGTTTGGCCACCCCTAACTCTCTTCCAACCATCCCCTACACTAGTCAACATTGCGCGTCGTGGTAATCGGTGTTCAGGCATACGTAACACGTGGCCCAACCATCTCAGTCGGTGAAGATTCACAAGTTCACTTACTGATTTACCATTATTCCCTAATACCCTGTGTCTATCCTCACTATTACTTACCCTGTTATCCCAGCAGATGCGAGCAATATTTTTAAGGCATCTGTGGTCAAACACTAGTAACTTACGAGTATCTTCTACTCTTAATGGCCATGTTTCACAGTCGTACAGTAAAACAGCGAACTGCTGCGCAGTATACTCGTCCCTTAATTGATAGACGGACAGGCGCATATGTATCCGGTGCCCTTTGTACCAATATATATATGTGATTAAATAAATAAATAAAAATAAACTAATTGTACCCACAGTTTGACTTTTGGACACTAATTATCAGGACCAGACCCAATTCCACCTTATTCGATTTGAGTAATCGGGTTGTATCATTAACCTTAAACTTGGTTTATACTATATACCAGATGAATGGGTTAATTATCAAATTATTACACCCGCCTAATCCAAACCAGGTGATTAGTTTATAATATAATAATTGGCTTATTAATACCCATAAATGATACACAGAGGTAAGAGAACTCGAACATCTAAGACAATGTTACATGTAAACTATGACCGTAGTCGCTTATTACTTAGATGTGAACATATTTGCTTTGTATAGAACCTATGTGATGAAACTAGTAAGTGATTTTACTAGCATCACTTTTTCCTCATCATCTTAATGTTGTCATCACTAACGGCAAATTTAAAAAGTTTCCTTTCCTTTAGGTTGGTGTAGAACAATTCATAAGATCGATACTGTAGTTATACAGCACGAAGTATCTGGTCTAAATAACTACTAAAAATTACATAGCAGTTAACAATTGAAAGCTAAAAAAAATGGTTGGATAATTGTTAGCAGTTAAATCCATAACGTGTGACTGATCCTATTTGTGACATGTCGGTTGGATGTATCTGCATCCATGTTAGTGTCCACTCCGGGAATCGAACCCAGTGCCTTTCACTTTAAACACCTAACGCGTTATCCACTTAGCTACTGAGTCCAGATAGCCATTAACCCGAGAAACGGCGATGAATTTCATTTTGTTTGTGTTTGAACCTTCCAGTTGTCGATGTTAAGGACTGCAACTAGTCAGTCACATTTGGTTTATGTGGATCATAGGAGAATTGTCACAATCACTTTCCCAAACACTTAAAAATGAAGTAAAACTGATGGTTTTAAGAACCCGGTATTTGACAAGGTAACAAAAATATTGAATAAACTCTTTGAAATCTCAAAAGTGAAATAAAACATACACAGTGCATTAGTTTTTTTAGTCACTCCACAGTAACAATTATGTCCATATTAATTACAACTCTTAATCTCAACAAAATAACAAGGCGTAAGAATGTCAAAATAGGCAACCAGGCCAATTGCTACTATGGGGGTCATATGTTCAATATTAAGTTCAACTTATGCGGAATGTAAATAGATATCTTACCCAAAAAGTTGACGAGCTAAGGCCAGAATTAAAGACGTCTTTCCAGTTCCCGGCGGTCCATAAAACAATAAATTTGGCAACTATACAGAAAATGTGAAATCCAAAATAGACGTACATCAGACCCTTCAATACACCTTTGAAGAACGCTAACGACTTCTGTTTGATAAGCTACTTCACCTATTGTCTTTGGTCGACTAGATCGATTAGCTTTTTATAGAGAAAAACTAACTATTTTTCAACCCAAGGGATATGCTTCTGACTTTTTATGCGTCGCTTGCTATCTTGGGGCTTTTGTTTGAATCCAGTGAGGAAAGCTTCCATTATAATCGATACCTTACTATAGATAAGTCAACAGTAGTACCTAAAATAAAAGCACAGAAAGATTTATATTACGAGATCTAGTAAAAACACCACATATTAGAGGTTACGCTAGTAATAATAATAATAATAGTGATAATAAGTATAAGTGTTTTCCAAACACGGCAGAAAACGGATTTCTTTAGAAGTTCCGGACGAAGAGATAAATGTGGTTTCTATCTGAGTTAGTCTAATCATAAGACATGTTATCAGCTCCATTTGTGTCTAACAATAAGGATGAGGTTGGCACGAAGTGCTTCTGTTCGAAAGAATAACTGGATGACGTAGCGAGATGTGATTGCAAAGATTACAACTTACAAGAACAAACGTAAAGCCTGGGACACAAGTGTTATTTCAAGTTGACCTACAACATTTTCGCAATCAGATTGATTTAAAAAGGTGAGTGATAGGAAATAAGAAATATAGTAGCAATCATAGTGAGATAGACTGAGTATACTCTTGACAGCACTCAAGACCACGAACTATTTGCGTATTTATTCAAAGATGTAATAAATTTTCTACAACCATTACTGGCTTACTCATTCCAAAGGTTAAGAACGTGTTTGTAAGGATATGTTAAAAAACAAGGGGTAAAAGATGATAAATCCTTTACACACATCAAGACCTTTATTTTAAAACCAGTCCAATGGTAATTTCTACTTAGTCCGAAGGAACTGCTGTCAGGACACAGACGAATTTCTATCCAAACTCCCCAGAGTGGAACACGGCAAACTTAGAACTAACAGTGAACTCTTATCTAAACTAGTGTTAACTAGTCCGGAGCATTAAATGTGACAAACCAAATTCTGGATGTGAGTGTATAAAGAGCTTTTAGTAGAAGAAACAGGTCAGGTATTCCATAGTAATCCTTGAAACTCACGGTCTTACGAAGGTCCAATATCGTTTTGAAGGAATCAGAATGATATGCTGACCACAGGTGCTGCAGTACTAAATCCTAGTGATTTGCCATTTATGGATAAAAAGATAGATCAAGACGTAGAATATTCGGTTTCGATTCGTCAGCACTTCGGAGGTTTTTTCGACAGTCAGTTTTAGATGGAAAAAAAGGTGGGACTATAATTCGTGGACGACCTTTGAGAGACCCTAAAGTAACCTTGAGAGTGTTCACCTGATAAATAAGACCGAATGAAGATTACAAATCTCTATGAGGATAATATGCAGATGACATAGTCCCGTTTGATGAAGACGCTGAAAAAATGCAGTCTTCTGTTAGAACTGAGTAACAATGCCATGATATTTGGAACGCGTTTCTCCCCATCTAAATGTAAATTGTTACTCCAGGACTGGCCTGCGTCAACACCCGAACTAAGGATAGCGAGTGAAGTAGTCGACGCGTTCGACTACTTCACTTATCTTGGAAGTCTGATCAGCTCTAATGGGTTGGTGTCTGACGAAATCTCAGCACGGATTCAAAAAGCTCGTTTGGCTTTTGCCAACTTATGTCACCTATAGCGAAGACGAGATATCCGTCCATCAATTAAGCGACGAATATACTGCGCAGCAGTTCGCTCTGTTTTACTGTACGACTGTGAAACATGGCCATTAAGAGTAGAAGACACTCGTAAGTTACTGGTGTTTGACCACAGATGCCTTAAAAATATTGCTCGCATCTGCTGGGATAACAGGGTAAGTAATAGTGAGGATAGACACAGGGTATTAGGGAATAATGGTAAATCAGTAAGTGAACTTGTGAATCTTCACCGACTGAGATGGTTGGGCCACGTGTTACGTATGCCTGAACACCGATTACCACGACGCGCAATGTTGACTAGTGTAGGGGATGGTTGGAAGAGAGTTAGGGGTGGCCAAACGAAAACATAGCATCAGTGCTTGAAGTCACTAACTTCTAATCTGAGCCATGTTGGTAGATGCAGACTACCTGGTTGGGGTCCGCGTGATTATCGTAACCAATGGTTGGAGACTCTGGGTGACATGGCTCAGAATCGATCACAATAGCGTCGGTGTATACACTCTTTATCTTCCCTTAAACCTTGAGATTAAAATTGCTTCATAACTTTTGTCTTTCTTCCTGTACTATATCCTTATATACAATCTTTCTTTTATAAATTACAACCACTAAATTAACTACTATGAATTCGGTGTTCATCTTGTTGTGCTAACGAGGTATGGCAACTTGGACCGATGTATATGTGTGCCTGGTCCTACGTTTTAGCTGACTGACTGACTAGAGCTCTACGAGGAATTAGAATTATGACTTACAGTTGACAGTTAGGGTTAGGAACAAGATTTAGAGTTTTCATCACAAAGTTAGATCAGCTATAATGCGTAAACCGTATTTCGCCAGATGGATGAATGAATTTCACGCCACAATCCAAAACTTGTTATTGTTTGCCTGAATGGTTCGTCCATAAATTATAGTCTTTCAGAAAAAATAAAAACATAGGCTATATGATCTACTATTTAACTGGAAATCTACGGCGACGCAGAACGGAGAACCGTGTATTATTCATTGTAATGCTATTGGGTAAACCCTAAGCTCACCAACTGTTCTGCATAATAACCATATCAAACCGTTGAGAAACTTTAAAGCGAAAATTTCCCAGCCTTCAATAATACGGATAGTAGGTTGGTGAACCTGTGTTAATCCTGACGGATTTTCTTACAGTGAAGGTTCAGCTTCCCCTTGAAAATGGTCACTGATGGGGCTGATACCACTTATTCGGGTAAGGCGTTCCAGCCATTGACCACTCGATGAGAAAAACCAGACCCCACCTTTAGTTTATTGGATCTCAGTTTGTGAACCTTCTTGCTATGACCTCGGAGATTATCAGTGCTGGAGGGGGCAAAAAGATAAGACATTAACACCCAAATCACAACTAAAAATACGAAATGCCTGTATGAGGTCACCTCGCGTCCTACGATAAGACAAGGGGAAAAGGTTCAGACGTTTTAAACACTCATCTTAAAGAAGTTTAGAAAGACCCTTTACTAATTTCGTCCTCAAATGCCGGACACGATCAAACAAGTTAGTATCCTTTATCAGACATGGGCTAGCGGCTTGGATACAGTACTCTAAGTGTGGTGTTACGTATGTGGGGTATAAAATTGGAAACATGCCCTCATCAGAGCAAATGAATGCTCGACGAAGTTACCATAACGCATGATAACCTTTGGAAGCAGCTACGTTGTAGTGCGTAGTTGTTTTCAAGTCGTGGTTTATTATTACTCCTAAGTGGGTGGGAATGGTTTCTAAAAGGAAAAGCAATGGTCCCTTCTGATTTCGATCCCGAAAAAAGGTTCAACACGCACTCAGGGCGCAATGATGCTACGTCTTTTAAAATATACCAATATATAGTTCTTTTTTATTATAAAAACTATCATTGCATATTACTGAAAGACATAATCGACGATTATGCTTCCCATCGTAAAAGAAAACTAGCATCCTCTAGGTTAAATAGTGACTCAGAAAGACTAACAAATCGTACCACCTACATAACCTTAAAATTTCGAATGGTGTTCCGGTGAAAAATTACAGAGGACGCGCGGTTAGCCAGCCAATAGCAGTCAGAGGTTATCCTTGATGTTTTCGATTTTCAAGAAAAGTAATCGAATGTTTGTCGAAAATAACAAATGATAACTTGTTGCAATTAGCTGTGGTTTGACGAAAGAGCCTGCATAATATCACATAACCTTCAAAAATAAGATAAATCTGTTAATCAATAAGATTGTTTAGTATCTTAAATTATCTCGTTGGAGTTACCTATGGATAGCCAATTGCCGACACTCGGGAAGACAACCAGACGCCAGAAAAATCGAATCGTTTTGCCCTCCTAAGACACAAGTTATAATATTGGGGGCCTCTCATTATCATAAAATTAACTTCACAGGGCTCATGAATAATGGAGGAGATTACTAGGAAGTGGACTCGGCGATTTGACAGGGAAACTCAATAAATCTTTTTTTGTTTAGACTGAATCTTCATTAACGAAGAGTTCATAGGTGTTAGCCTCTTAATTTTAGCTCCGTTTGGAGAAAGTGATTAAACCAAAGTGTCCTGGACACAACAGGGGTTGGAGTCTCAGACGTTTAAATGCGTCAGTTTTGAAAGACAGTCTACAGCAGGCGAACTAAGGAGGCCTGGATGGATGTTCACTGGAGACTTTCACCGCATTTTACATGTTAATTAATCATTTTACCCCACAAATGGTCGTCAAAAAGGATGAAAAACCTAAGAGAACACTGAATAACACCCTTCAAACAACAAGGTTAGGAAAAAAAGTACTGTGAAGCAAACAAAAGGATCACTGAAAACGACTTGTGTAGATAGTTAAGATAAGTAATTGGCTTCCACACAAATGCCTTAAGGAAAGAGAAAAACCGGCACCATATAAGCTCGAACAACAGATTTGTCTTCGTTTCAAAAGGCTTATTTCGTAATGCGACCTCTTTCTGACAAGCCATGTCCTAGATCTACCCGTTGTTGGGATCTAATGACCAAGTATGGTGCCACAGTGCTTCTGATATGACTTCCAAATATTTCAGCCATTGTCCATGTTGTGGCGATCCTGAAGATTATTCGCAATAGACATGGCAAGCCCAGGAAATATAAAGAAGCAATTTATCGAATCAGCGTTCGACTAGAAGTCTTGCCAAAAGCATCACGAAAATGAAAAAGTCACATGTAGAGTTTCTGATTGGCTGATTACTACACTGCTACTATGTTTAATAGCATTCTAGAATTTTCAGGAAAACCCAAGAACCCTATATTTTCTGTAAATAAATGAACTTTTGAAATGCTTTTCACATATTTTACGTCTTTTCTCTCGTGTTCAAGTTGCGGTGTAGATTCAGCCTGGGCGTTTCGAGGCTAGCTTAGGATCCGAGTATAGCGTTCACTCAGCAAGATTTATCAGTCCACAATCTGCAATAACGTTCAATTCAGCTCAACAAGAGTCTCAAAGGCAAACCCACCTGCATAAATGGTGTCCTTCAACCACGGTAGCTGAAGAACACATCTACTGGACCGTATATGTCTCGTTTCACTCTGGCACAATCACTTGCATTACTGTTCCGACGTAACACAAAACAAAAAGTGGTATTATACAAGTGAGGATGTGTCTTGGCTTCGAAGTTGCCACAACTACAGTGGATTAACTAACTTATTCACTGACACCTGACACCTGTGAAGGGGCACAAGCCGCCGACCAGAATTCTCTAAACTACCCTGTTCAAGGCCCTCTTCTCAAAACTCCCCAGGTGTTGTTTATTCTCTGATGTCAACCTCCAACTCGCGACGCGATGCGCTCTTTGGTCTTTCTCCCTTCCTAATGCCTTTCAGACTCCAAATTAAGGTTTGCCTCGTGATTCAGTTAGATGATTTCTGGAATGCTTATCCTGGTCACCTTCAGCATCCCTTCTTAATTTCCTCTTCATTTAGAAGCTGGTTTGTTTTCTCCTGTAGTAGGTTGTTGCTGATGGTATCCAGCCAACAGACTGAGGATACCACGGATATTCTAGTTTTGCAACTAGCAACCAGTAGTATCTTGTTTAATCGTTCGTTCCCAGTCGCATAGAAACCAGAAGTCAGACGAGGAGAGGTAGGAAAGATATATTTGTTACGTTACCAATATATCGAGGAACCTTTACTATAAGCTGGCTAATGAACGTAGGAGCTGTGTCCCACGCCGTGTTGCAACGTGATCTGGTACGGATGCGTGTCCGAAAGCCTTCAGCTAAACAAGTCCACTTAAACAACGTGGTCAGCATCCAATGTCGAACACTTAATGAGCTATTGATTTTGGGGAATTATTTACAGCTACAAGACATTGAGTTTCTTGCATAGATAATTGTTTATAATTACTTGTACTGTTTCGATTACGGTTGAGGTAGTTTTCGAAGTTTCAACTCCATACAGTAGAACTATTTTCGAGTTGGCATGGAAGGATCTGATTTCGATGTTAATAAGTGGTCCTTGTGAGTCACATATGTTCATCAACAGTAGGAATGCTAACCCTAATTTGTCAATTCTTGCATTTACGCCTGCTCAAGATCCTCCTTGTTCGTCGATGATGCTACCCAGATACGCGAAACCTTCAAACTCTCCCAAAGTTTCCCCATCAAGTGTGACTGAGATAGTGTTCTCCGCGTTATATTTGATGATCTTGCTTTTCCCTTGTGTATGTTGAGGCCTACTTCTGAAGAGGCTGATACTACACTGGTTGTCTTCATCTGCATGCGATACATGTCTAGCAGAGCACCTAAACGATATAACTCCGAAACTAAACAAAGGACTTTCCCCTGATCCTATGAAAAGTGGGCCTAATAAAATATCAACCTCAGCAACCCACTACAGTGAGAACTGTATCTTCTGTAACAATTTGATTTTGTCTATAAACTAGCATGCATCATGTAACATGTTGTTACTTGAGAATAAATTATTATTATCTGTTGATGCATGCGAGATAAAAATGCTAGGGCATCTGCGAAGTCCAAATCGTCTAAGTGCATCCGAGCCTTTCGTTGAATTCCGTACTTTCCCTGGTACGTGGTAGTCCATCATGTTGATCTTGAAGTTGAGCGTATACTGAATATTTCATCCGGTTCATCAACACTGTTGGAAACTTTCTCTGGTACTGATGGCAATGTAATCTCTCCATAGTTTTCACACTTATTCGGTTATCGTTTCTCCGGTATCTCGATGAAGTATCCTTCTCCTCAGTCCGTAGGCAATTTTTCTTCCCCTAAATTTTTTCTTCATATAGCCACTCCATATTTCCTCCCGTCGCAGCTTCTTCCACTGTCAGATCTAAGTCATCCACGTATTTCTGCTCGTCGACTTTGATGCTCTTCTCCACACTCTTGTTTGATTCACTGTATTCGACGAGTACCTTGACTTTCTCTGCTCTTGTTCAACTACTGTTAATTGCTTTATTCCACTTCTTACTTTATTGAGTCTTGTCCAGGGTTTCGATAGAGATCCATTACTTACGATGGTGCTTCTTGCGTCCCAGTACATCCTCACACGTTGAAGTCATTTATGCTTTGATACCTATTCAGTTGAACTTCATATTGATTTCCACTTCTCTGAATAGATCTTGCAAGGCTTAGGACGTGTTTCTATAAGATAACTTCTTTCGCTGAATTTTTCAGTCATGCAATATGATCGATCTGGTTCTACAAAGTGTGATCCAGCCCGGCCCATACAGCTTCGTGCATGTGTTTGTAGGGCCACCTATAACCGATTTGTTGGGTGCACATAGATGTCCAAATCTGTCACCATTTTCGTTCCCTTCTCCTAGTTCATGTTATCTTAAGATATCTTTATACCCAGTGTTGTCCATTCCAACCTTGACGTTTTGGGATCCCATCGGAATGGTTAGGTTGTTCCCCAAGCACTTCTCTACAATTTATTGCAGCCTTTCATGAAACTGGTTTTTATCGTCTTCATTGTTATCATTGGTGGGCACATAGCAATGCACAACACTCATGGTATTCTATATTTTTGATATGTGTTTCTTACTAAATTGAGTACAGGATTTTTGTCTTGATTTGATGAGAGTAACTCAAAAACGCTTTGTACGCTTTGCAGAAGAAATTAGTTCGGCCTAATGGAGTAAAATTTTGTCTGTTAGTTCTCCGTTCAAACAAAACACTGGGATTTTGGTCATTGCGCCCTAACTGAATGCATTCTCTCACGCGTCCGTACAAGTTCATGAGTGAGTACGCCATGCTGTTCATCTTTTGCTAATGTTAACCAACTAAGATCTAATAAACAACATTAAAAAATATACTCAGACTAATTTATTCTTGACTTCCGATTTTACTGAGTCGGTATCCCTTGGTTATAAAAGTGTCATAGACGAAAGAATATTCAAACGCTGAGGTTCTGCGACAGCTTAAGGAGCTTACCTTGCTGTAAGACCACCTGCAAATTAGTTACGTTTTGAGAGTCAGTTATCCAGTGATTCAAACCGTCCCTCCTCCGGTTTGAATTCGAATCCCTTAGCCAAATTCATGGCTTGCCCCTGGATATGCTCCAAGACATTCTTATGGCCGTATTGAACCAAACTATTAACAATCAAGTTGGATGTTTTTCTGTCAAACTGGTCAAAAATACACTTCACAGTTACTAGTGAGTGGTTTACTATGGAGGCATTTAGATTACAGTTGGTATTCGTTTATGTCATAGAGTATCAAAACCCCTAATTAGTTTCTGGATCAGGCTTTTTAATCCTACTGTGTGTATGGGGACTATATGAGCTACCTTTCATATTTTTCATTTTGTTCATGGAATGAATATTTTATTTGGTGAATATTTTAAGAGACAGGACTAGTTCATCGAATCCTGCTTTTCTACAGAAAATGGATGGAATGCCATCAGCACCCAGGTTTGCCTAAGGTTAAATGGTTTCGATAGCATCATTGATATTGTTGAAACTTTATACTGTGTTGCCGAAACATCGTTGCAAATGTAATTTAGAACAACATGTAATGTAATTGATATTTACACCATAAATATTGAAAGTAGTCAGGTGAGTCATACAGTTAGTGGCACACATAGGACTTGTTGATGATCATTATTAAATCCTTCATGCTGTACGAAGTGAACATTGTTGTCTGGAGTTTTCCCATTCATCCTCTCATCAGCC